TCCATTATGGTGCCCAGATTCATCACTGAGGTAGGTGAGAGGAATTACACTTAAAAATTGAGCATTAGTTTGGAGTTCAGGGAAATGACAGCAGGGAATTCAAAGCAACAGGCAGTCACCAAATCCCATAGGTCAGCTCTTATAGAAAAACTGCAGGCTGGCTTTGGGGTGAAAAGGCCAGGCTGAAACTGTCCAGTAGTACAGATGATCTCACACTTGTTCATGGGTTGTCCTGAGGTTGCGTTCTTTCCATTCCCACAAGTGTGCACTCTCGCAGCCTGATCCCTTGCTTGCTGGGAGCAGGCACCCTGTCTTTCTGCAGCAGTCCTTGGTCCTCCTCAGTAACACTGGCACAGCTGCTGGACCTCAGGGGTCTCTTATCAGTGTAACTTCCACCACCAGGCAGGTGGCCGATTTCTTGGGACTGAGGAACTACTCAAATGTGGGGCCTTCAGTTTTAAAACTGGTACAGTTCAGGGGTAAGTTGGAGTGATGTGGTTAACACTGTAGGGGGTCGCCAGCACAAAAATGGCTCATACCCTTTTTTTGCTCAAAGTCTTGCTTCTACCAGTTCCTCTTGGGGATATCACACCCTGATTTGTAACAGCCCTCACTGTTCTTTCCCCTACTGATGGCTTTCCTGTACTTCTCCATCTTCACACTGTCCTGCTTCCCTGGGCTCCCTCCTGACAATACATGCATTCTCTGTTTGACACCCTCATCCTACAACTGCCAGGATCTGATCTGAACCATCCTGCCCTCTAGGAGCTTCAAGTTCCCGGCTCAGACCCCATGAAAGCCCTCTTGCCATATTTACCTGGGGGTGGTAAGAGGACATTCAAGCATTCTCCTTAAATACGGTTATGCTATTACAATTTGGGTTATGTAGCTCAGGAAAAGGTCAAGGGATTCAGTGATGGTGGCCCTCTGTCCTGTAGGAGAATTGGCATGCTGTTTCTATAAAGAGCCAGGTAAATATTTTGGGCTTTGCAGATCATACAGTCTGTCTTGGCTACTCCACTCTGCTGTTGTAGCATTAAAAGCAGCTACAGACAAAATGTAACAAATGGCTTTATTTATAAATTTAGAAAGTGGACCTAATTTGGCCCATGGAACATAATTTCTAAACTCCTGACATAGAACATCTTTCTCAATAATTTTGAAAAAAAATTTTAAGTTACACAAAGTTTTCTCGGTCCTCTCCACCTAGATAGGCCTGTAGTTCTACAGATTTTTACCTCTTTTAATAATTTACTCTTACTCTCCTGGCCTTACAGAAACTGTCTGCACCTCAAAAAATGAATTATTGCACCAAGAGAGTGACAGGGGAAGAAAGATGATATGGCACTTATTTCTCAAGGGATATTTAACACAAGTTTGTAATACCAAATATGGATACAGAGTTATGACAATAGGTTAGGATAATTGAGATTAATACATAGTTAATACTTTGTTTATGGGATTATTAGAAATTTGGAAAAAATTCCTCTGATGCATCGCAGTGCCCTCACTTTTGGCAGTGGAGAAGGGAGAAACCCTAAATAATGCTTTTAAAGATAACTTTGGGGTCTTAGCTCTTTCTAAGATTTTCAAAGTAAGCAACACCAATCAGTGGGAGGCCCTTTATCTCAGTGGCTTACATGGAATCCTGCTTTTGTCATTCAACAATACTCCTGAATGTTTTCATAGTGTATTTTAAAGTTTGCTGTATTTAGAATATTCTCTCATAGGGACCAAGCGTGCAAGGAAACATTGATAGGATTTTTAAATAATTTGGGGAATATTTTCACAATGTGCATGTACCCGAGAAAGGCTTCTATCAGAGAGGAAACCTGGGAGACAGACGAGGCGAGGCGGAAAGCAATGGGAAAAGATCATTCCAGCAACGTGTCCTTAAGTGTACTTATCTGCTGCCGGGGGTGAGAAGAGGTTGAAACAGAGCTCTAAAATGCTGTTGACCTGCTCTCCACAAGCCAGCTCAGTTGCTGGAGTTAGCGTAGAACCACGGAGTTAACTTTAGCAGGAGGCAGCGCATGTGGGCTGGAGAGCAGCAGATACTGCTGAGTGTGGAAAACTGAGCCCTTAACAAGTCAGTTCCACGCCCCCTTGAATTTGTGCCTCGGTGGGGAGTCCTCGGCAGGAAATCCTCCATCTGTTTCCCTTTACTACCAGCAACTTCAGAGAATGAGTTCATTTCTCTTCAAACATCCTCCCGTGGCTGGGAAACAGCACTGGGTTGAATGATGACAAATGTCACCAAGAACGCAAGAGGCTGCCTTCAAATGGAGACAGCTGGGACAGTTGCACTTCTGAATTAAGTTCTAGGCAGGGTGTGTGGGTTTTTTTCTTTGTTTACATTTTGCTTTTGCTTTTTTTTCTTTTCTTTTCTTTTTTTTTTTTTTTTTTTTTTTTCTCTCCTTTGGTTAGGGCAGTCTTTGGGGGTTTTTTTTTGTTGTTGTTGTTGTTGTTGTTGTTGTTGTTGTTGTTGTTTTGGGTGTGTTTTTCTTTGTTTTGTTTTTGTTTTTGTTTTTTACAATTTACTAGTAGAATTTGGATATTTGAAGAAACAAATTCAAAGGAAGATTGCCAAAGATTTATCCAGTGGATTAATGGAGTGGACCCTGAGGTCCACAAGATTATAGCTAGATCAGTCTTTCCTTTTATACAAAAGCCTTATTTGAATTTCAGGATTGCTTTAAAAATATCACTGCATGTAAGTACTTTGTTTTTCTGTTTTCCTTTTAATCCCCTAATCAGCATTTTTTGCATATTTGTAATCTCAAGTAAGTTATCAGTTGAACTATAAATATAAATAAAATGATTTGCCAACACATAAATTAATTACAAAATAAGATACTGAGTTTTGGTAATAGTTATAGTCATGTTTACATCTTCATGTCAAGAATTATTTAATTTCGTTAATATTTCAAGTAACTATCTTTTGCCTAATTTCCTCCAGTAATACAAAGTGCATTTTAAATTGGACAATAAGCAAGTCCTAAAACAGCTTTGTTGCTCTGTCAGCTTTTCTGGTAAATTTAGGTAGATTTGCTGAGGAACCTATAAATCTAGAGTGAAATTAGCTAAGTCGTGACTTTCGTGAATCTCTTTGGAAATGCCATGGAATCATACTGCTGACTTGGGGGTGGGGAGCTGCATGGCAAAAGGGTGCTGAAACACTGCAACATTTCAGCTGCTGTTACCTTTCAGTGGTTATACCATCAAGTTTTGACATGGCTCTGTGCATAGGTCAGGCTCCTGGGGACTCTCGGAATGTAGAACTGTGATTACCAGCTACAAGTAGTTCAACATTGCTGTTGAACAGGTCATCAGGACAGAATCCAGAAGAGGCCAAAATGTTCTGTTCTCCTTGGATTCCTACCTTCAGCTACCACCGCTCAGCCCTGTAGTCCTTACATGACAGCGTTGAATCCTGGAAGTGCTACTAAGAGGTAATGTTTCCCTTCCCAGCAGTTAGTTAGGAAAGAGATGGCCATTGGGTGGCTCTGAGTTGGAATCTGGATGAGAAGGAACACAGGGATGGTGTCTCTGTAATAACTGCGTACTGCTCCCCACTTCACCACCAAACCCTCATGAACAGACATACTCAAAAGAAAAACAATAGGTAAAACTGACTTCTGTGAAAGTCAGGTTTTGCATTCTTCTCTCCACCTCGCCCTAGTCTTCAAATGATGTCTGTCTTCTAAAACCCAGGACTCCTATTCATAGCTAGTTGTCAAAGGTAAGGTCTCCGAAGGAGCCTTGTTCCTGATGAATCTTTCAGTTAAAGATCATTATCTGTCTGGCCCTCTCTTATTTTCACTTAGGAGAGTAGTATCATTTCAGGTCTATAGATGTCCTTTAAATTTTCCCCTACATGTGGTATAGCAGCTAGATGTCATTCAAGGCAAAGGCATGTTGTGAATCACAGTAAGCTGTGCCCCACTTTCTGCAAGCATTCATGGCAATGGTATAGTCTCAGAAGACCACAAGCTCACCCTTAGAGGAGGGGAAACTGCAATCTGGGAGCTGTGAAAAGTGAAAGTGGAGACTTTTCCATTCAGTGTGGTTGTTGCTTTTAGAGGAATCACCTGCTTTCTGATTTAGTTGTGCTTAAGCTTCTGTGCTTTTTACTATGGGGCATGGTGTTGTCCCAGCAGCCCCCGTCATGGATCTTGGCAACCCGTCATCCCTGGTGGTTGGTGCTCTATCCGTACAAAGGAGAGGCATGGGAGCTTGGGGCTGGGAGTGCAGCTCCTAATAGTTTATGTAGTTAGTGATCTACTTACTAAATGAAAGTGAACCTTACGATTGCTTTTTCATCTAAGTGGAAATTATATTGCTTCAAAAGCCATCAGGACATCTCTGCAGTGTGGGTAGCTTTCCTGTAAAGAGAATGTTTCTCTGAGTAGCTCTTATACAAACCTGTGCTCTGGACAAATCTGAAATGGTGTGTCCTGTGTACTAATAGATGATGATGATGATGATAATGGTGATGATGACAGTGGTATTCTCTAACAAGGCTTAACTGGCCTCATTTGCCAGCTGTAATACTAAATATTCTGTAACATTTATCACATTATATCTTCCTTACTTGAAGTATGGGTAATGTAGGCAGCTTCCTTCTCTTACTTCAATGGATGACAAACAAAAATGCAAAAACACTTCCATTCACTATTGTGCTATACTCTTTTTGTGTATGATGTCACTGTTGTTTCTTTCATTCGACTGTCTAACTACCAAAGTTGTAGATTTTCTAGGCTTCTTTCCATATTACTTTTAATTCATGGATAGCAAAGAAAATTGGCAGTAGAGAAGAGGTAGCCAGCTGGGATGTGGTGGAGTGGGCGGAGAAACTGGCCCTCGCAGTGAGTGTTGGTTGCATGTGTAGGAAATGGATTTCAGTTCTCTCCGCTCCATGTTTACTTCCTTGTAAAGTGTGACATCGTCCCACAACATGTGTTTCTGGGCTTCAATTTCTACAGGATTATGGGGTAATTATCCTTGTTTGCAAAACAATGTCATAATTCTTGGTAGAAAACATCATATTTGTGAGCAAATGTGTTTTGGTTATTGCATTGAGCCAGGTTTTCATTTCGAGCAGATAACACGCTTAAAGGATGGAATGAAGTCTTTCAAATTACCCAGGTTGGGGGCGCCATGTTGGATTTTTCCTGTTATGAAATTTGCATTTTAGATAAAATTTACTATAACATCTACTCTTTTAAAACTTTTTGTTAATAGATGACCAATAGTGCTAAGCTAGTTTGTAAATAAGCATTCAAGACAAAAGACAAAACATAATGAACAAAATGAAAATTTATAAAAGTGGGGACAGAAGTCACTAGTGTTTAATAATAGTTTTTTTTTCTTTATTTATTGTTCTTAAATTGAGTTAGGAGAACATTGTGCAGCTAATTTCATCACATTTAAGATACCATTGATTAAAAGACTACATATTCAGTATTTCTGGGGCATTACTTTTGGTATAGTCCATGATTATATTCAAAAAAGAAATGGAGGAGGAAGTATTTATTTTGAAGGTGGTATCCAAGGAGTGAGAAAATTTGAAATCAGAAATATCATGTCTCACAGCTTTACATTCATATACATTTGAAACTAGAATGAGTACTTGACTATCTTAAGCAACTACCTTAGTTTATGGATCAGGAAACGGAAGGCAATGTGGTAAAATTATTTATGAAACCTCACTAATTAGCTGCAGAATGAGGACAAAAGTTCTCACTTCTGACAGCCAAGCCCAGGGACTTTTTAAAAACTGTCTTAATTCTTATATTTAAAAAAATGTTATTTCTGCAATAGTTAAAAAATAATAAATATATGCCCCACAATCATGCCAATTGCATTATTCTTTTTGCTTTTTAAAAAATTTAATATAAAATATCTCAAATATGCCTCAGCACTCCGGAAGAGTGAGGCAAAAGGATTGCAAGTACAAGCCCACCCTGTGCAATATAATAACTTAAAATAAAAATTAAAAAATTGGCTGGGGAATGTAGCTCATTTTAAAGACTACATTCAATCCCCAGTACTACCAAAAAAAGAAAAACTCAAATACACAAAAAACTATATAATAGTTATCTATAAACACCAAAATTAAAATTTATTTTGCCACTTTTAGTTCAGATAACTTGAAAATAAAATAAAGCTCATTACAAACGCAGTTAATGTACTACTCTGTCTTTCCCCCTTCTTTTCCAAGACATTTACATATAATCCGGAAGTTTCTATATATTGTTCTTGTGTATTTTAGTATTTTCATTGTGTCTGTGTGTATCTGTGTTAGAACATGGGCATGGATATATGTGTTATATCTATTTGTGGTTCTACTGTTGTGTTCAAAACTTAAAGTACCTAAACCATCATCTATATTCTATTGTACTTTTTGTAATATTCAGTGTTGTTCTGAGGACATATCCATGTTGGTTCATAAATAATTGCATAAGTTTTGCACAAGTAACTCAAGGTGATTTATCCATTTCTTATGAGTGAAATTTGGGTTATCTCTGCAGTCTTTCCATTATAGCCATGATGTAGTAACCTCATACAGATATGTTTATACAGGTAGTAAAATATTTTGGAGGAAGTTACTTAGAAGTATTGGGTTTATAGCACCTTTCCTTTACTAAATGGTGTGAAACACCCTATAATCCATAACAATTTACTCAATTATAAATCATGTGGAACAGTAGTTCCAAACTCTAGCTACAGATGAGAATCACTTAGGAAACTTTAAAAATTTACCAGTGTTTAAATCCTGCCCTAGAGCAATCAAACCAGAATCTCTGGAGATGAAACCTAAAACAGTATTTGCTTTAACGCTCTCTAGGTGATTCCAAGGCACAATTGATTTGGATTTTGGTTTCCCCATTTATTCTCCACTACTTAGTATTGTCAGATATTCTTATTTGTTAGCCATTGAGTATGAAGACTTTTGATTGCTAGTGAAGCTGAGTATATTATTATAATGTTACTGAGCATTCCAGCACCTTCTGTTGTGAATTGTGTTATATTTTACCTATTGTTACTCTTTGCCTTTATTGTCTTGAATGAGTAGGTGTACATTTGCAAGTATGTACCCTCACTTATGGACTTATCTTTCTACATTGTGGCATCTTTTATTAATAGAAGTTTACAAGTTTTAATTCAGTTTATCAATATTTTCTTTTGGTTCATATTTCAAGGGATATTAAGAAATATGTTCACCACATGATTTAATAAATTTGTCTATATTTTCTTAGAAAAACTTTGCTGCTACATTTTCCTAGTGACATCTTCAGTCTATCTTGCACTTATTTGCATGTAGTAATATTTATCTAATTGTAATTGCCGCAGTATAATTTACTAACTAGTCTATCTGGTTTCCAGCCATGTTGAAATCCATATTAAATATTTTTAAAGTTTGTAGGTTATTTTAAATATTCTACATAAATGTACATAAATAATTTGTTGTTTTGTAATATTTATATACTTTTGTTTTCCCTTGCTATCATGATTACGACCTCTTTCCCAGTGTTAAATGGTATTGATACTAGATATCATGTCTTGTTCCAGATTTTACATGAATTACCGCTGACTTTTCATCATTAATTATAGTATTTTGTTGGGGTTTTAGTGTATGATATCTTTTGCTGAGAAAGCTTTCTTTTATTTTTGTTTGCTCAAGTGCTTTATCAAGAGTGTTTTGAATTTTATCAAATACTTTCTACATTTAATGAGAGGCACTTAAGGTTGTTCTCATTTGATGTGTTAATTGGTGAATTATATTAATAAATTTTCTAAAGATAAAACACTTGCATACTCTAGGATAAGCCCTACTCTCTCACAGTTTGTAATATATTCATTCTAAATTTGATTTGCTAGTATTTTCCTTAGAAATTTTATATCCACAAATGAAATCGGTCTGTAATTTTTCTTGCTCATATTATATTGCTTATCCTACCTCATAAAGTCAGGAAGGACTTCCAGTTTATTTTATTCTGTGAAATAGATTTTACAAGGTTAGAATTGCATTTAATTTCTAAAATGGTGTAACATGCCTGAAAGAATCCTATATCTGGTGGGTCTATGTGTGTTTTCAGCAGACTACTGATCAGTTTCTCTTACTGTTGATCAATTCAACAATCTTTTATTCCTTCATGGGTGATTTTAAGTTATATTTATGGTGAATGAATCATTTTGGCTAGATTTTCAAATCCATTGGCATAAAGTTATTCTCTTATTAAAAGTTTCTACCTTACCTGAAATTGTCATTTTTTTCCTACTAATATTAGGATTACTCCGTTCCCTTAGTCTCTTTTTTGAAATTAATTTCACAGTGATTCTATTAATTTAAAAAATAAAAAAACTTCTTTGATTCCCAGTTCTACAGTGAATGACAAATACTCTCAATAGTCAAACAAAAAATTTATTTGGATATATTATTGTAAACTTGCAGTTATTTACTGTCATTCTATTAAGATATTCCACTGATTTCTGCTACTTATTTTTGCTGTTGAGTCTCTGTTGTCTAATGGTTATGTCTTGGTGGGTAATTTATTTTTTCTCTCAGTTGCTTTTAAGATTTCTCTTGTCTTTGCTGTGGACATATTCATATATGGACATATTCATCGCCACTTTATAATTTTATTTCAGAAATTCATGCTAGATACATTGAATATTTTGTTCATGTCATGCTCCCATCTCAATATTTGTCCCTTCTACTCTGGTGTATTCTATATTTCCTCCAATCCATCTTTCACTGATTATGTCTTTAACCATGTCTAAGTGACTACCTCCCTATTTAATTTGTCATTCATTTGCTATAGTCTTGATTTCCAATCTATTTTCTGTTATTTTAACCTGTATTTTTCTTTTCATACAGTTTGTATTTCTTTGTCTTATTAACAATTATAGCTAATAATCTGTTAGCTAAAACATTAAATAATCTGTTGTCTTGCTAATTTATTTAAAGTTCTTAAGATTCAAATTCTTGTATTGTGTCTGATGATGTGACTCTTCTCATGGTAGCTTGCTTCTTCATTTGATTTTATAATTTTGAATTAAAAGTACTTCTTTAAAGGGAAATACTGTATACAAATATGTAGCCAGGGTAGGTATAAGAATCCTTCAGAGACATTTTGCATTAGTTTCCGATATGTGTCATAAATGAAGTTTTAGACTTTTTAAAACTTGAACTTTGTGGACCACACACGTAGCCCTGGTTATAAATTCTGAATGGATACTAACTTTTCCCTTCAGTGAGCATCTACACAGAGTCAGACGAATAATATGATTGTGTCCATTTGCTGGGACACTTCCCCAGCATCCTACTCTTAGGTAGGAATGTAAACCTAAGTTTCTAGAGAGACCTGTAAGCTCTCTTATTACAGTGTCTGTCTGTCTCCATAAGCTTTTTAGATATCCCCACCTCCCACCTGGATCCCTCTCTCTTGCTCATTCTTGCTCTTGTGCCCTCTTTTTAGCAAACTCAATAGTACATTTGAAACATTAAGGTCTTTTATTGCTTATTGCTGTTGACAGTGTAAAAGTTTTCAGTTTTTCTTGAGGAAAAAACTGCAGAATAAGAGCACTGTGACCTTTTTTGATATTAAAAAAGTCAGAGAATTTCACAAATTATATTTCGCTGAAAAAGTTTTCTTGCTAGCGTATGTAGAAATGGAGACTATCCAGGAATCAGCTTGCAATTTAGTAAAGCAGTGTAACCTGAGTATAATACTCAACAACCTTTGAGGAGGTGCATTCCTTGAATTTCTACAACAAAATCAGCTACAACCTGGTGTGTTGAGAATGCTGAGTAAGGCTTGGGGAAGGGCTTTAAAATGTTTTCAAGGAGTGTATTGTGGAGGGAAAAGTAATATATTCTGAAACGATGCAGGTAAGTTTTGCTTTTTCTTATTGAGAAACTAGGACATTTTAAAAGCACTATATTTGAAAAGCCCAAGTTCTTTCTAGTTCTAGAAGTTTATGATATTGCCACCACTCAGAAACATTGTCCCGCCAAATCTTCTCATGGACTGCCTGTATCTTTGTAATCAAATCTTATGTATTAAGGTTGGCCAATATTCTCAATATGCATTCTATTTCTACCACTTACCACAGCACCCTAATAAATCAAGAGAAATGAAAATTATATTCAGTTTTTCTTCTGCTGTTAATATCAGTGTGATCTGATTAGCCACATATGACAAGTCAAAGTTACTAATCCCTCAATTACAGCATTTTATCATTAAGTACTAAAATATTATTCATTAGGTAATAGAAAACAAAATAATTGATGGATTACAGAAAATGCTAATGATTGAATGCCGTGGACACACAACATATTTTACAACATATACTATTAGAACCTTTTATTACTTCCATTGAACCGGCTATAATTTTGAAACATTTTGCCCTAAAATTTGCTTTGGAAGCAACAAGTTAGTAGTAAATCAATAATAAAATACTGTTGAAAACAAAAGATTGCTAAAAAAAAAAAAAGAAAAATACTTTCAACACTTAATCCCTAAAGTTATTTCTGAAGCCTCAGCATATTATTTTAAATTAACTGTCTGAAGCAAATCATTAAAAAAATAAATCTGTCTCTTTGCTGAATTCTGTGTGTTTGGATTGAAGTGCAGTTGATTGGTAGTTGCCTGACAAGAAGGCTGATGCTGAGTCTTTTTATTTTCTTAATTAAGAATTACCATTTTAGGCTCATGGTGGTTTGCAATGGCAATAATCCCTCCCCAAGCGGTTGTTTCTCTAGATTCTAAGTGGTTTGCCAGAACTTTAACCTCAACTTGACCCCTCCTGGCTGCAAGAAGGGCTCCATAAAGGTCAATAATATTTTGTAGAAAATTATCAAGCATGGAACATACCCTGGATTATGTAACTTGCTTTAAAAATAATTATACTGTGTTTGTCATTTTAAATAACTGGGTTCAGTGAGGCTAATGAAAATGTTTAAATCCTTATCTCTTGGAATGAACAGCCCTGGCTCTAGAAAGTGCTGACTTCAAATTTTTGTGCTGCTTTTGTTGATCCTGCCTGCTGATGCACACGACCCACTGATGTGTGGCATTCATCCAGGTTCTACATGAAAGGCGCTTCCGGGCCTTACATGGGCTGCAGCACATTCCTGTAGTTCTCTAACAAAGCATCTAATTGGCGACTGTGACTAATGAGCGTGAAGTCCCAGAGGAAATGGAGCATGGACTTCCACTGCCCTTCCGATGAGCTCCAAGCTTAGGGTATATCATACTGGAACCAACAGAAGCCAAGGCCAAAGGCTTGACATGAGCAGTATTGCTAATTTCAGTTTATATCTTCATAAACAGGCATTCATACTTTTTTTGTTTGTCTTTTTTTTCGTTTTTATCGGTACCAGGGATCAAACTCACGACTGCCTGCTTGCAAGGCAGGGGCTTATGCCGCTGAGCTAAATCCCCAGCCCCCACATTCATACTTCTTACCTAAATTCTATTACACTTTTAATTGTATTTCCTATACTTTTGTAGCCAAGACCCTTACTGGCCTTGGCCATTGAAGTCACGTAATTCTTTCTATGAGTTGGAATTAACCCTACTGTATCTACAGTGTAGTGTGAGTATATTTCTCCAAGCAAAAACTGTCCTTTTTCAAAGGGTAGCAATCCCATTCTGCCTGAAATCACTAGGGATGAAGGAAGTGCTAGAGGTAGGCCATACTGAGCTTTGGGAAAAACACTCATCTGCTCTGAACAGAAAATGCTGATACAGATAGTTGCACTGTGAGATTTTTTATTTTTTGTTTTTAATTTATACTTTCAATTATGTGCCTTGCCATAGTATAGCAGAGGAGTGAATGGGGATGATAAAGTAGGTGTGGAACAAGGAATTCGGTCATTACCTATTACTTATTATAGTTAGTCAAGGACTTCAGCTGAATAAGCCCATTAAGGTCAGGGGCTGCTGGAGCAGGAGGAGATCTCAGCACTTGTGTTTGAAAGGACACTTTGTGGATTTTGGTTGACCAGGTTACAGACTTCTGACTGATATACAAGTACCTCTTCAGTAAAACTCACTTAAATGTCTGTAAAGTATATAATAATTCAATTCTAAAATTGTCATATTCCATAACCTGCCTCTCACTGTTGACGTTGGTCTTAAACAGGCATCTCTCTGCCATTTTGACTCGTTCCAATTATCTCTTGCCCTGACTTTCCGCGTCCTATCATTTCTGCTTATCCATCTCACTTCACAACTTCCCTTTACCCATTTTTTAACCCTTAATTTCAGCTTCCTTTCATCCTGTCCAGCTTGCCTCGGTCTTTGGAGCTTTCTGCTTTCTCCTGTTGACATGTCACTGTTTGCTGTGGTTGATTATGATTCGTGGTCTGAGTCCTCTTGTGTCTCCTCTCTTCCTACAGTGCCTTTAACCCCCAAAGCCTCCTTTCTACTTTTGAAAACAAGTCCTGTATCATTGGTATCTGCAACGGAAATTTGTTGGGTATTCTCCCCTTGCCATCTCTTCCATGTAGGGGGAAAATGTTGCTATTTGTATCCCTCAGTGTGTAAATTATAGCTCAACTGTTCAATGCAAACTTCCTACATTGGACTTACTGGACTATTTGAAGTTTTACAAGCTCCACAACTATGGTATAATCTGAGTAACACAGGTTTCCTGTATAAAAACCTATGTAATTATCATACACTGGGAAAGTAATGTTTCATCATTCTTCTGGAACAAGATTGCAGGTTATTTTATGACAATAATTAGGTTTTGTCTCCTGCAGTATTTTTTGCGCCATGAGTCTTTGTAAAATCTATATCATAGTAGCTAATGGTATGATAGCCAACTTGCAATGAAAAATGCATTTCTAACAAATGTTTGCCTTGAACATGGAGTCCAAAAGCATCATGAAGTTTATACACTGTACTTTAGCAACTGAGATTTATTTTTTTAAAAAATTGAGTCCAATAAACCATTCAAGAAAGGTAAATCAAGCTGGAATATGGACTGGGAAGAACCAGAAAAGCCTCTAAGTCCTTGCCTGTGATCCAGCCTGAGCTCAGAGCAGGGAGAACCAGGAAGGAAACTAAGCCCCCAGCTGTGAACCAGCAGTGTTCACAATAGGGAGAATCAGAATGGAATCAATGTCCCTGCCTGTCAGCAAGCCTAAAACTAATAGTCTGAGCAACTATTTAGAGGGCAACAATATGCAATATGGTAACTATTGTAGATTTCCTACTGTCTAATCACAATTTTATTTCATTTTATTTTTGTGTTGTTCCCTTTGAAATAAAAATAAATGCATAAAGAAAATAAAAAGAGATGAATCATTCAGCTATTTATTAAACTCAGAATAATACGCTGAGTGTGGTTGTATACACCTGTTATCCCAGCACTTGGAAGGCTGAGGAAAGAAGATCCCCCATGAGTGTGAGGCTAGCCTGTGCTTCATAGTGAGTTCAAGACAGCCTGAACTGCACAGTGAAGCCCTATCTCAAAAAGAAAAAAAAAAAAAAAAAATCAAACAATACTTGGAATTTTCATTGTAAATGGCTTATAGTAAATTGTAAATAATATTAAATTTACTGTGATTGGAGTATGTTTTCAGTTCTGTATGATTGACCACTCTCTTAAACTTTTACAGCAACATCTGAGTAAAATCTCCAGCTATATTATAGTTACTTAAGGTAACCATATTTGGATATTTGTAATACCCAAAACATATCATAAATCAGTGCAATAACTGGTGAACATGACTCTTTAAATTGAGCCTTTTATTCTTAGGACATAAGATTCTGTCTCCCCTTAGAGTGCCTAAAAGTTAGAAAGTTAAGAATTGTCAAAAGTAGCAAAATAAGGATGGGGGTTTAGCTCAGTGGCACAAGCGCCTGCTTGGCAAGCATGAGGTCCTGAGTTCAATCACTGGTACCAAAAAAAAAAAGTAGCAAAATAGTGATAATAATTCTTCCTCGTGGAGGAATTGAATATGTAGCCTTAGTTAAAAAAGTATACAATGATTTAGTTAAAATACAAAGAATTATAAATGCTCAGTGTTATTGAATCGTGAAACAGAAAATGGTGGAAATATAAAATCATTTTCCTGGGAGTTCAGCATCAAGGCACCTATCTGGCTAGTGTGAGGTTGTTAAGTTCAAGTCTTGGTACAAAAAAAAAAAAAAAAATCACTGTCTTTATAGTTCATTAGAAGATAAGATAAAAAAGATAGAATCACCATATTCAGATCCAAAGTGGATTTGGAGACTATATTAAGCTTTCCAGATGTAAGATTTTGCAGTCATCAATAATAGTTCCCTGTTCTTTGATTACTGGGTGTTTCTTTTGAGGTATTTTTAACTTTGGGACACTGAAGCAAAGATGTTCAAATTTGTCCTTGGAGTTTCATACATCTCTTACCAGAGACATTTACCAATCCGGTGTTATTTAAAGGCCAAATGGAAGTGTGCTAGAAATCTAAAGAAAATGTCAGAATGAACACAGTATAGGGAACACGTTTTCACAGAAATAATGATTCCAAGTTTTGTAATTTAATTTGCATGGTTGAATGAACTCGTCTTTCTCATTCTCCACAAATACAGCCCACCACATCCTGAACTGTAGGCCTTCAGCAAAGCAGCCAACCGCCCAAGTTAGCATTCCAAAATCGTGCCCACTCTGCACCCGCAAACCCAATATGTTTTTTAATTAAAAATTAATTCTAAACCTACAGGCCTGAGAAAACAGTGGAAGGGAAGAATTGCTGTATCTTTCTTTCAGCTAAAAATGAAATCACTTAACCAAAAAAAGAGTGTTAGACTTATACTTTAGTTGGGAGTATGTGAACTGTCACAGAAAAGAACAGATCCTGTTCCCTGAAACATGAGGAAATATAAATTTGGCATTTTTCTCAGGGAGACTAGGAAAACAATTCCTTGGAGGATTTTCTTATCTTGCTCTTAGAAGTACAGGATAAGAATCTGTATCTGACCTTCAGTGTTCTCAGGCATTGCTGTAACAACAATCTGCACATTTTAGCGGCTGCTCCTTAGAAAGATACAGGTTTTAGTCACAACACTGTCCTGGGATGTGCCTTTGAGGGGGATAGTGGGACGCAAACACCTCCCTGTGCCTCTCTTTTCCTTCTGGACCATGATGTGAACGGCTGCCGTGACAAGCTGACTTGCCACAGGCCCAAAGCAGTGAGGCCAATGGCATAGGACAAGAACCTCCAAAACTGTGGGCCAGGAAACTTTTCTCTTTAGAAGATGATTTGTCTCCACTATTTGTTATAGTGATGTACAGCTGGCTAACACAAGGGTGCCTCTAATACAGATATGTAGAGCTGGAGGGAGCTGCTGGGACAGCTGGATTCCCACTGCGACACTTGAGTCAGTGAGGAAGAGGAGTGGGAGTGCCCACTCTGGAGAGCCCACGCTGTGCTGTGGGAAGAGAAGATCTGCTTTCAATATTGGCTCAGTTCCCCACAAATCGTAACAGTCCTGCCCTTACCTCTCCTCCTCACTTCAACCCTGGGATGAAGGTTGGTCAGAAACGGCAGGGAAGGAGTGAAGGTGGAAGGAAATGAGGAATAGAGAGGAGCCCAAGCTGAAGGCAGAATGTGCCTGCTGGCAGCCTCCACCAGAAGAGGGTAAAAAAGAATTACCTTTGAGTAATAATTCAAGGACAGCAAAATATGGAGTTGAGTGTTCTAATCATCAGACAAAGACTGTGTTTTGTTACCTGCTGTACACATGGAACTTTTTCTTAACTAGAAATGATCAGAAGATCATGATTTTGCCTAACTTTTACCAGGGGCAAAGGAAAAACTGATTGCTTAGATTAAATTTAGAGATGCAATGATCCAGGAGGAAAAAACAATGATCTTTATGACCAAAGCTGACATAGCTATTCATTCAGTGAGTCATTTACATTTGAATTCTGGTACATCGCCTTAAGAGAAGTACAAACGAAGTGCTCTGATAAATCCATAAGAGAGCATTGTGCTCGCTTCTAGCCAAAGTGGAAGTCTCCTAAGGAAAGTCTTCATGGAGAAGGCATACAGGTCATACCTAGCAAATAAAGGGGTTTGAATACACATGTGGATGAAGCACTGTCAAAGACATTTTAGAAGAACAAATATCAAGGAGATAGAAAAGCATAGCAGATGCAGGAAAAAGAGCAATTAGTTCCATTTGGTTGAAGCCAAGCATGGGGCAATAACAGGAAATAAGGTGGAAATGTTGGCTTCCAGTTTGGACAAAATGCGTGTAAGTGGTGCTTGAAGCTCTGGCATGGTCTGTATAGAAAAAGCATGGTGTGGGGGACAAGGCAAGTAACCAAAGCCAAGGGGAATCTTTGCAGTTGGAATGAGGTAGACAAATGTCTGCCTTAGAGTGCAGTGAGGTATTGGCCACTAGCTTCTGCTTAGACCAGATTGGCATCCAAGGCAAGAAATTGTAGCAGTGGGATGAGAAATTCAATAACTGTGCTTGCAGGAGGTGGTCTCAGCTTGAAATAGCATTAACAATCAAATCAATATAAACAGAAATAGTTTCTTTGTGAATAGACAACTACAACAATCTATGGGTCTGATAAGTAATTTGACTTCTCAAAGCCTCACTTTTCCCATCAATGGTAATAATATTAATAATAAACCAAATAATCGATTTATCAATTATCTAACAACCTTCTGGCACATGTTTGGTGACCAAAAGCTGTTTCCCATCTCTTTCCTTCAAGAGAAGGAGGGGGATGGGAATTCTGAGCAGGCTGCTATTCAATGTCTGCTCCCCGAGTGAGGAATCTAAAGGAAAGATCAGAAAGCCAAAGAAGATTCTTTTGTTTCATGTACTAAGCTGTCAGGCGGAATTGGAGGAAGGTCAGTGAGTTTTAGATACCCTAATGCAGAACTGCAGGTGATAGAGTTTATGTCCACAAGACTATTTCAGTTCTCAGCCTACTGGCCTGGGCAGGATTGCCATGGAGATTGAGTTGTGCTCAGTTTGCAGGGCACAAGCTCTCTATTTAAAGTGCTTAGAGAGACAGAACTAGAATGGGTAATGGGGTTTGGGGTAAACCAAAGGGTTTAAATATCACTCCAGTGCAGGCTTGTAGGACAGGCTGGAGTAGAGGACAGACTTAAGACTCCCCAACATCCAAGCAGTGATAAGGCTGGCAAGGTGACAGGTGGGGTAGCCCAGATGATGAAAGCACACAGATCCAGGCCTGAGGTCAAGAGGGACGGTGAGCATCAGGACATCAGGGGTGATGGTCAGAGCTTCACCGCTAACCTTTCTGAGCCTTCAAATAGGCTTCAAGTGATACATCCCGTGCCATAGGATATGATCTGAAATATCATTTATCCATAATTTAGCCATAACATAAATGTAAATTTAAAAATGGTCTTTGGGCAGTCCATATAGACATTATTTCAATATCATGCTAAAAACATAAGGCCGTAGTCTTCTGCAAGTTCTTCATTCGTGGTACCTAACAATTCCTGACTTACAATGGTCTGATTTTACATGGCGCAAAAACTATATGCACTCAGCAGAAACTGTCCTTCAGAATGGCTTTTTTTTTTTCCTTTCATTTTTTTGGTGGTGAGGATTAAATTTAGGGCCTTCATTTGCTAAGCAGTCACTCTACCACTGACCTGTACTTCCTGGCCCTTCCCTTATCATTTGAACTTTGAATTTGGGTCTTTTCCCAGACTGGCACTGCATGATCCAGTTGCAATACAAGTCATCCCTATGATCACAAGGGAGACAATCAGGTATTCTACAAGGTACCTTACTGCTAAGCTAAAATTGTTCAGGAGGTTAGAGATATCCAATGCAGTTTGGACATAGATGCAATTTATGTTGGGTTTATCAGAAAGTAACCCTCTATAATCCCATCATGAATCAAGGAGCATCTATACTTACATTGGACATGATTTTAATACATTTGACATTCTGGTTACTCCTGCCAGAGAACTGAAGTTGCAAATTAAGGAGAAGCATTAGAGTACAACATTCACACATATGGCAGAGAACAGGCAAGAATGAAGATCCCACTACAAAAAGGAGATAGAAACAGCAGAGAAATTATTTTCAAAGTAGCATATGGATCCATTCAGTGTAGAGACAAAGAATATACACATCTTCATATGCTCTGGGAATCTACTCATATATTTTGCTGTAGTTTCTGAAGTCTCCAAACATAATGAGTAATTAATGTTTTCAAGGCTATTTCTGGGTCATCAAGAAATGGATAAATTGTGTTCAGAAGACACTATTTTAAAAGAGGAAGGGATGAGGAATGGAATAAATATTTAAGTTTCATACAAAATTATAAACTTTTAAAATTGGTATTTTCAAGGGCATAAATATTCACTATGTGAACATTCATTTATCCAATATTTGTGTCTTATAGATCACATTATTCTTACTTAGTAATAGGACTCTAAAATATGAAGACTTAAAGGGGTACAGATATATCTAAATATAGCCAAGTGGAAATTCATCTTTAAAGGATATTAACTTGTCGATGATCCTACCTTTACTAAAAATACGTTTATACTTGGTATTTTTATGGTTTATATCTAAATGTCCCCCAGGATCCTCCTGCACTCATAGGCAGGACTTTTGGAAGGTAATTGGATTATAGCTGAATTGATATTAAGGGGCAGAGTCTGGTCAGATGAGGCAGGTCACTAGGGGTGTCACTTGGAAGGGTTTTATCTTCCTCTCTATCTCATTCTCTGCCTCTTGGCTGTCACAAGGTGAGCAGGTCTCTTGTGCCACGCTTTTTTGGAGCCAGCCAACTGTGGACTAAAACCTCTACAAACCATGAGCCAAAATAAACCTCTCCTCCTTTAGGTTGTGGGTGTCAAGTATTGCATCTGAATGACAAGGAAAGTGACTAAAACAAGGCTTCTTGTTGAGCTTATAATAATATAAGGCAACAACTTCCTTTGGAATCTCACCTTGATTATTTGCATAGAAAACTCCCAGCACCAATAACAAAGTATTCTTTTTTTTTTTTTTTTTTTGTCTTTGTCTTTTTATCAGTACTAGGGATCGAACTCACAACTGCCTGCTTGCAAGGCAGGCTCTTATACCGCTGAGCTAAATCCCCAGCCCCAACAAAGTATTCTAAGTCTAGTTCTTCAGGAAACAGTGGATGGGCATCTAACTAGCACTGTGTTCTAACAGAGAGACTCTGCATGGCCCTCGCAATTAACTCAAAGTGTATTAAATCACCTGTATTATTCATGAAGCATGTTCTTTCCGCTTACAAAAACACTGAACCTACCCATAAGGTCAAAATGTTGGAAACATTGGAAGTTTCTTTTTCAAGTATACCATAATCTGGTGTCAGAGTTCAAAGCTTAAAAGCAGAGGTGACTTAAATGATGACAGCATCATTAAAGTAAGATAATCCCTTTGAAGGCGACTACACTTATTTAATTAGTTAGCTCTAGTATATTTGCTAAAAGGATCCTTCTCATGGAATCACCTTTGAGAGAGCACTGATAAGGTCTTTCAGAAGGAAAAACATTGTCTGTCAGTCTCCTCATCACCCTCATAACACAGCAGCTCCAGAGCCCGAGAGTTGCAGAGAGGATCCACAGGTGTCAGCCCCAGGCAGCCAGGTGTGACAATGACTGAATCCCACAGAAGTTGATGACTGCAATAGGAGAATTAGCATCTGCTCGAAGCCAAGATGCCTGGGCTTGTAGCAGAGCATCCCTAAGCATCAGAAGAGCACTGTCCCCGCGGGGACTCAGAGCAGAGAAGGATGTATTGCATTGAGCGTTTTCTCCTGTCAGATCCAGGACTGCCCTGGACATCACATGGCATTTGAGCAAACCTGCTTTCCTCGAGATTCCCAGCACCGCTTAGGTGGGCCTCGTCCCACAACCTTTTGCACAGCCTTTGTTTTTTAAACTCTTATGCCCTGAGCTCATTTTTGCATGTGTAATACTTTATTATATAAGTCATTTGTATTTCCAACCAGGATATACCAAACCTAAACTTGAAAATAGTAGAGATGTTAGGTTTGGAAAGTTTCAGCATCACAGACATTCTGTTCATCTTAAAGACTGAGCATGAAGACGTTACTGTTTATCCTCTTCCTAAGCTGATGTCATGACAGTTTACTAAACGCACTCCTTTTTTTCCGGTAGTTTTAAAAAAACAAGGCTTAAATTGACCTCAACTCATGCTCAGGTTTTCAAATGCACAAATGAATTCTGTTGGACTATGTTAAGGTGCAAAAAAAAAAAAAAAATTTGTTTTTATTTAAATGATTGTGCATTAAGTACCATTTAAATACTACATATATAAAGAATAAATATTACACTTTAAATAGCATTTAAAATATAAAAGTACTATAGTATTCATGTAGGTTTTAAAAACAGGAATTAAGAAAAAGCCATTCTTGGGGCTGGGGATTTAGCTCAGCGGCATAAGCACCTGCCTTGCAAGCAGGCAGTCGTGAGTTCGATCCCTGGTACCGATAAAAAGGAAAAAAGACAAAAAAAAAAAAAAAAAGAAAAAAAGAAAAAGCCATTCTTAACATAGCAACAAAAAGATTCTTCTCAGCATTAGTCATGAATAGCTTACTTCTGGACTTCTGGCTCATTAGTTTTTTTTTTTTTTTTTCTTATTGTATTTGCTATTATTATGTATGTAATCAGATTTTTTTGACACTAGTAATCAAACTCCAGACCCTGCGCTTGCCAAGCAGGCACTGTGCCACTGAGCTACATCCGCAGCAATGATTTTTTTTTCTTAAAATGAAATGTTTTCAGGCTATTATAAGCTATTTGTAGACATAGCATTAATGGCTGCATGCTTTTCTATAAAATGAATACTCCATGATTGACTTTGCTAATTTTTTCTTTTCTTAACCAATTTTTCTATGCATTTATGTTTACATGTCTTTATTTACATATAAAAAAGACTTCATTGGACATTTATATACCATCAACCTCCCATATCTAGAGTTATTTCCTTGAGATCCATACCCAGAAGTGTCATAGGTCAAAATTGTAATTATATAATATGTATTTTTGACAAAAGTCACATTTAATTTACAGTGTAATAAAGGTTACAGGTAAAAATCTACCTATAAAGTGTGAAAAGCCCTATTGCACAAATGTACAAATCTCTGTACCAAGCTCCTATCAATGTTTCCTACCTCTGTCTCCTGTTAGCCAAGTCTAGTCTTGGAGCTCTGAGCAAACAGAGTTCTCAACTGAGGGGGAAGAGCCTCCAAACCAACAGTTAAAATTTTCTCTGGAGAGACATCGGTTGCTTGCAAAATAAAATATTTTCTTTTAAATTTGAATTCACCTAATTGGTCATAGCCTGGGGAAAAAATTGCCTTCATAACACAATGAAAACCAGGCACAGTGGTGGATGCCTATAATCCTAGCACTTGGGAAGCTGAGGCAGGAAGATCGCTGTGAGTTCCAGGCCAGCCTGTACTGCATAGCAAGACCCTGTCTCAAAAGCAAAAACAAAAACATAACACACTGAAAAATGCCTTAGAGAGTAGAGGATAGTACTCTGGAACTAAATGAGAAATTTAGGCTCAGGTTTGACGAGAAAACAAGTACAGTTCAAACAGTACTGCAAGTTAAAAACTATAAACCTGCACTGGGCACAGACAAAAGGAAATAAAAATGTTCTTATTCCACTAAAAAGGACAAAAGACAAAAGCCTAACATTGGAACCTCAAAACCACTGACCCAGGAAAACATTTTTGAATTTTAAGTTTAGCTTAACTTTCAAATGCCAAATTAGTGATACCTAGCTAAAGAAGTGCTTAGAAGAAAAGTCGTAGCAGTGTGTTTGTTATATAAGAGAGAGAGCTCAGTTGGGTAGTCCAGACTTCTACCTCCACAAACTATGCAGGAAAAAAAAAATATTGCAATGAAAGCAGAAAGAAGAAAATCATAAATAGGAGATATCAATAAAATCAAAAACATAAACAGAATAAAGAAAATAATTGGAGATAAGAACTACAACTTTTGGCCTAAAAAATAATAAAATTGATGAAATTTTAAAAAGACTGACAAGTTCAAAAGAGAAAATACTGCAAGTATCAAAAATTAAAGAGAGAGTGTTCCTGCAGATCTCACATACAGGGTAAAGCTAACCCTGTGTAAATTTTGTTACACAGGTGAAATGAACCCATTCCTTAAATTAAACATAGCAAAACAATAAAATTGATCATAAGATAACAATGTCAGAGATACAGATTTCAAAGCAAGACAAGCGGAGATCTTCACTGTCTATCACATTGTCGCTTGTTTTCTTCCAAATAGCTGTCCATATCTTCACACACAATGAATTCATACAAAACAAAATAGTATAGAACTGATCAGAACAGGACAATGAAGGCATTTTAGGTCTTCAAGACCAGACAATAAGGAAGTCAACAATGGCTGCCGTATTGTCTCTCATTCTCTTCAAAATGGCTGTCCATACCTCCATGTATGTTGAAATTAAACAAAGCAAAACAGACTAAAATCACTGAACAAAGAATAATAGTTTTGCTGGATTTCACATCATGATGTTACAAAATCAGCAATGGGCACCTTAGTGTCTCTTTTTCTTCAAAGTAGCTGTTATTTCAACGTGCACTATATTATCAATTCTCATAAACTTTTTAGAAGTTCTATGCATGCATGAGTCTCTACATATATACCTATCCTTTCTGTATTAGAGGGAAAAACAAAACAAACCAAGACCCTTTAAAATAAAAAAAGGAAAAAAAAGACAAGTCAAATTCCTAATGAGATGAAAAAGACATGTAAACAACAATAGCAAAGAGCCCAGTACACTGACAATATCAAAACAAGGTGGTATGAGCATGACTAGGATTATTTTACATAATGATCTTCAAGAGTTCCTCAGATCACTATACAATAATAAGCACAATTGTTCCATCCCTATGAATGTTAACTATTTTGTTCCAAGAACTTAAGTTTGTAGCACAATCATTTTAGCTTTCCTAAGTGTGTTTATATAATTTTAGGCACTTTTTCTTTTCCCTTCTTTTTTCTTTTTCCTTTTCGTCCCTGAGATATTATTTTTCCCCTTTAAGCAGATTCTTATCCTTTCACTGTAATTATTGAGTTTTTGTAGTTTAAAATCTTGCAAAAGAGAAAGTCCTAAAACCAGATGTCCTCACTGTAATTTCTACCAAATCAAGAAGAAATGTTACTAATTCTTCATAATCTCTTCCAGAAAAGAACACTTCTTACTGACTCAGTAAGGCTACTGTTACTTTAATATCAAAACCAAAGACATTACAGTGAAAAATTTTTAGAGTAATATCTTTATTGAGTTCAGTTTTAAGAATTTCCAACTCTAATATTAGCAAATCTAGGGCAAAAATACATTGGAAACAAGAGTAATATACAACAAAGTGGATTTTACCTGGAAATGCCAAAATTATTCAATACTTGAAAGTCAGATTATTCTATAATATTGACAAGCCAAGGAGACACATAAAACAGAGAAAGCATTTAACAAAGTTCAGTATCCTTTCCGAGGAAGAAAAGGCTTCTTCCTCAACCTGATAGAAGCACTCAAGGATCCCTACAGTTAGTACCTGAAGGGGAAAAATGGAAGGCTTCCCCTGAGATCAGGAACAAGGTGAAGATATCTACTCTTACCAGTTTTATTCTCCGTAAAAGAGTCCGAGAGCAACAAAAAGAAGTAAAAAAGCACTCAAACAAAAATTAGGAAGTAAAACTTTCTTTATACACATATAATGTGATTACTCACACAGAACATCCCAAAGAATCTACAAAACAATTTCCATGACTAAGTGAACTAAATAAAGTGTCAGAATACAAAGCCAACACTCAAAAATCAATTGTATGCCAGCAAACAATGATGGTACTAAATACTTTCTAAATATCATTCAGGAATATTAGCTACACAAAGACGGAATAGAGAAAAAATCTAACAGCACAAAACAGTTTGTACTAACCAGCTCTTCTTCCTCTCCTCCTTTTTCTTACCCATTTGCTCAGAGGAGTCATTTTCATTCTATATCCATTATATACCTAAAGTTTCTTTTTTCACTGAGATATTTGTGGTTTTTGAATTTTGCCAGGTCCATTGTAAAAGGTTCAATATCCCCTCAAAAGAATCAACCAGTTTATTTCTCTGAGTGGTATCCATCCTGTCAGAGAAGTGCTTAAGACCAACAACTAATCCTGGATGCTGAGTCACCCAGAGCCAAAGCAATTCAAAGGAAGGCAGATGTCTGCCCAAACTGTGTTCTCTGGGTAGAACTCAGCTTTGTAAAGCCTAGATCACCCTTCTGCACTGAATACCTAAGTTGGGATAGAAAAGCATCCCATTTTAGTATAAAAATTTCAGATCCACTCAGTGATGAGCTGATCCTCTTTTTCTCTAAAACCTTTCTCTACTATGCAATTTGGTATGAAACAGGTATGATTATTCTTCTATACAACAAAAGTTCCTGGACTTTGAATGTGTATTCTCTGACCCAGGAGGTCCCTATGTTCCTATCCAGTAGATAGTTTCATTCACAGATGAGCTGTGTTGGTGGTGAAAGAGTATGTTCAGCATTATTCTTAAACCTGACTGAGATGATTGCAGTTGCTGGGGGTTGGATCATATCTCCTGCGTAGGGATTTTCACTGCAGTCCCAATCCCTCCCTGGACAGAACAGCCATGGTCTAGTTAACATTCAGGCACTGTCCTTTAGCAAACATGTATCCAGAGCTTGTCAAGCTTGTGATATCAAAAAGCCATGGATGATAAAAACAATTTTTATCTGTTTTGATCATTTGGGAGGAGCCAGATCAACACATAAAGCTTATAGGTCTATGTTATATGTTTATATAATGTTACTTTAATTGACATTAAAATTTGGAACTAAGTGGCTTGTGAAAATTTTGTTGATATGAAATATGTTCAGATTCTGAGGCTGACTTCAGAGAGTCTATTTAGTCTACAGGACAGCTGGAGTGTGAGACCTTAGCATCACATACAACTTTATTTCTCCAGAAAAATGAGTTCCACTTTCAAACAGAAAACAGTAGGCACACATTTGTCCAGCCAGGCCGCTAGAAAAGGGACCCATCGCCATCTAACTGGCTTATCTTCGGGTGAGGGTAATAGTGATATGTCTTTTACTGGAATTAATTTTTTTACAGAAGTTAAACATCTGCCATAGTTTTATCACACCTCCTATGTAACCATCTGTGGAGACTGAAATCTTCAGGTCCTGAGTTCCCATTGTGTCCCCCTCTGTCCTCCCTCTTCTGTTCCAACTGTGTCAGCCCCATCCTTAGAACCTGGGCCTGGGATCCATTTCTTCAGGGGATTTACCAAGTATGGAGGGTGACATACATGTGGGGTTTATGACAAGGAGTGACCAGATAGGGGGGAGGGTTTCCTCCCAGTTCCAGCTCCACAGTCCTTGTGCGGATCCCAGTGGCAGCAGTAGCTTTTCACTGACTTGCACAATTCAGAAATTGGGCCCTGCCTTCCTAAACAACATGTATTTCATGTAGGAGAGTGTGGACACGTCCAACAGCAAAGGTGTAGAAACGGTTGGGCTTTTGTGTCTCACAGTAATGGAAGAAGTTCCATAATAGAAAAGGACAGCCGGGAAGGCTGGATGAGGGATGAGACCGGATGCAGTGACCTTGCAAGGGGAAGGGGGCAGGAAGCTTAGAAAACTTGAGTAAGACAGGGGGAGGAGTATTAACTTTGTTCAGGATCTAGGGTTTAAACTAGAACCTGACCAAGATAAAATTGTCTTGTGCATATTAAGAACCAAGGTTTGGGGCCAGGGATTTAGCTCAGTAGCATAAGCGCCTGCCTGGCAAGTGCAAAGTCCTGAGTTCAATCCCTGGTACCAAAAACAAACAAACAAAAAAAGAACCAAGGTTTGATTTGGGAACTACTTAGAAACCAGCCTATTGAAGACAGTATGATTTTTGGTTGGGGAAAAAAAGAAATTTATTGACTAGGTGGAAATGAAAATTTGTTAAAAATATGTATTTCTCATGGTTAGGGTTAGTTTACCAGCCCGATGAAATTTTCCACCTGGACCAGGTAGACACTATGTTATACACTGGCTGTCCTATGGAGACCGATGTTGTCTAACAGGGATATACTACAAACCACATATGTAATGAAGACTTTCTGGTAGTCACATTAAAAACAAAAGAGAGAGATGAAACTGATTTTCAATAACGTTTTATTTAATGCAATTGCTATGGTGCAAATGATTGTATTCTCCACAATCCTTGCTTTAAAATTCAATCACCAAGGTGATAGTGTTGGTAGAGTTTTGTGCTTCAGTTACAAAGGCAGATTCTCATGGTGGATTAGAGTCTATAAAGGGGGTCTCAGAGCACTGTTTTATCCTCTCTGCCATGTGAGGGCTCAAAAACAATGTAGTATCTGTGTTGCAGTAAGGGTTTGCTAGGGAATAGACTGAATACAGGACACATAATTTGTAGCACTATTTTATAATATTCATCAAGAATCAGATGCAGAAGAGTGCAGATCTGCCCATGTTCTAGAGACTCGGAGAATCCAGCTGAAGCCCTGGATTCCACAGCAGTGTTCTGCATGAGTCCAGCTGAAGATCTAAAGTCCACAGCATTGTCCTTCTTGATTCCAGCTGGAGGCTGAAAGCCCACGTTAATGTCTCATGTAAGACTGTATCAAGGATCTGCACTGGGAAGGCCTAAAAGCAGGTAGTGAAAACTACAAAATAGTGCCAGCAAGACTAAGGATCTGTGCCTAAAGGCTGAGGGGTCTGCCCTGGAGTCAGGAAGCGACACTTGAAGTAAGGCCCAAAGCTCCCTCAAAGAGAACCACAGCCATTCTCAGTGACAGCAGGGACCCAAGGTCCTCAGACAATGAGAGAAGCTGAGTTCATATCAGGAAAACCAGCATGCCAGGCTTTTAAGGGAGAATCAACAGCTTTGCCTCGTCCCCTCCAGTTCTCCTTTATGCTGTTGGCAACAATCCTCAAGTGGGCCTTCCACACCCAGAACCCAGCTGACTCAGTTCAGCTGGGTGTTACAAGTTGACCCTTAGTTAACCCATCACAATCTGTAAACCCAAAAATGAGTTGTCATTAGATATCCAACCTGCTCATTCCTTGATCTTAGGATCCCAGCCTCCAGAAGTGTGAAGAACAGGTTGTTTATAAGCTATCCGTGCTACAGTATTTTGTTAGAGCAGCCCAAACAGACTAAAGCACCACATGTACAAAATATTAGTTCAACGTGTAGCAATTTATAAAAATGTTAATGATATGTTCTGCTCTCTTCTTTATACTGTCTTTAGAATTGACATGTGCATGTTATATTCACAGCATAAACCAATTCAGACATTAAGTTTTATTAGAAATACCTGATATGTATTTATATTACATAAAATTTGTAATTGAAAAAGGAGATTCACATACTCAGGTTGTTCCAAATGTACCTCCAGATTGTTAAAGAGAAAATTCTTTAGACCAATAGAATCCACAAAAATTAACCAGAGCATTTTCTGAGAACTCCAACAATCTGATCAGAGAGCATTTTTAGGAAAACAGAAATAAGGCACACACACACACACAAAAACACCTGGATTGACTACAGTCAAATCAATCGGTTACAATTTAACCAGTTAACTGTTTATCACTTCATTAGTTAATTTTGGCTTCATTGTTAATTGCAACCAATCACAGCCTAGTGACTCTGATTAAATGCTGTATCAGTTTTTCTACTGGGCCCAGTGTTGGTGTCCAGTCCAAATCCATAGCCTTGTACAAAATCTTATTTAACAAGCTTTTCCAATAATTGAATCAAGTACTGTCCTCCCTTGGTAGTCTTCTGCTTTGAACCTCCTTGAATTTCATATTCAACACATTTTGATGCGGAGCTTTTATCCTGGTTCTCATCATTTGTTGAAGTATGAGATAGAATTTAACAGTGTCCATAGCTTGTGACTTACACCCTTTTCCTGTGAAAATAAATTGTTTGGTACTCATGATTTGTGTTGTCTCCCAAAACCAATTAATGGTGAATAGTGTAGAATTTTTTAATACAATTTTGTAGATTAAAGGACTTGGACTAGGATATCTTCCTCTGACATCTAACATGCATCTCTATTTTGGGAGACTGTATGGCCCAACATACTTAGGGGTGGTTTTCTGATAGGTAAGACAGTGTCAAGCCTGTAACTTGAGACAGATAATATGGCTTAGAAAAATGACAACAGGGGCAAATGGGACACACAGAAGAGCTGGCCAAAGAATGAAGTTACCAAAGATGCCAGACAGTATAAGAACAGACAGGAGGGCAGACAGTAACTCTCAATCTTAACACCATCAAGAGTTTGAGCAGAATAAACTAGTGTGGCTCCCAGGGTGTCATGTGACCAAGAACTACAGTTACCATTGTCCTTGTGAGTATAATACCAAAAGTGACTTAAAAAGAAAAATCTGATCCCTGTTCTTGATGCTTAAAGGCTATAATATATTTCAGGAAGAGAAAAGGAATTTATTACCCATGTCAAAGACCAAAATTGCAATCATCTGCAGCAGGGGAAAAAACATTAATTCAGATAGTGTTGAAATTTTTTTCTACACCATTAAAAAGTAGAAGGCAGAGAGGACAAATAACAGTGAGCCGTTTACTAGCCGTCTCAGTAGGCTCTAGCGGTGCAAAGCACACAGAGATGTACAGCGGCGGCCAGAGCTGAAGAAGCTGAAACAAAGGAGGTGTCTGCATCGCTGCATAGAAATCACATGAAACAGGAAAGCTACTCAAAACCCTGTGCACACACAGCTGTAGGCATCTGCTTATTGTGTGATCCCCCAGGCAATGGGCTTTTGCTCCTTCTAAACATGTTCCTCTTCATTTGGGGGACTCCACTACCTTCTGCTTCTCTAACTTACTACCAAACTAACCCTCCCAATGGGAGTACATTCAGTCTCATTAAGAACTAGGATTTCACTGATTCAGCTCATCACCACTGAAATGGACCAGGCATGTGACAGGCGAGGGGCGTGATGGAAAACTACAGTGTGTGTTTAAACTTTAAATATGGTTTCTAAACTGTATTGCAGCAAAAGACACATTGCTCTTAGTCTCCTTCAAAATATACCCCCTCACTTCAAACACACTGATTCTGTCCTTGCCACTTTTTGAAGCCGTTCTTGAAATCTTTGATGAATGTCTTTAGGAGATACAATAAAAAGTATGGTGCATGCTCCAGCCAAGTGCCATCCAACAGAAAGGCAGACTTGTAAAATCCACTGTGGTGCGTCCCCATCCACCTTATGCATCTAATCCAGCACTGTGCAACTTCTGGCTCTTCCCTAAAGTCAAAATGGCCGTGAAGAGTGAATGTCCGTGAAAGGCAGCCACAACAGCACAATGAAGGACACAAAAAGAGAACTCAGAACTGCTTCAGGAAGTGGTACAGTCAGGCATGGTAGTGCATGCCCATAACCCAACTGGAGACAGGAAGATCCCTGCGAGTTCCAGGCCAGCCTGGGCTACAAAGTGAGTTTGAGGACAGTCTGACCTGTGTGGCAAAACTCTGTCTCAAAAAGACAGACAAACAGACAGAAAAAAGAAAGACAAGACGATAGTACAAATGATGTGTTCAAAGCAAGGGAGAATACTTTGCAGGTGATTAATGACAGTGTGTCTTGTACTGCAATAATTGTTTTATTTAAACACACCATTTTTCTGCCACATCTGACAAAAACCAAATCCTTTATGTACTAAAACTTTATCAATTTAATTATATTTATCTTACTATTGCTTGCATCCTTTTGTTTCTCACTGTTCAATTCAGATTAGATAGTTGTAAATCTAGTCCGGTACTGTAGATAGTGAAGTTGTATGAGGGGTGATTAAAACATACAGTGAATATTTAAATGTTTTCCTTTTTAAATTTATTATAGTAAAAGACACATTGCCATTAAACCACCTCAAGATATTCAAAATACTTGCCTCTCTTCGAACACACCCTGTTGTTCTTGGCAATGTGCCTTTCGTTGTGTTGTCTTTAAATTTTAGATATTCATCGTATTTTTCAATCACCCTTGTAGTCATACATTTATTCCAATATTAAAATGCTTTTTCAATGTTCAAGGAATAAATTTTCAAAGCATGATTGTCATTTTGTCAGTCATCTAAAACACATCAATAGTTCAAACGTCTTTAACTGGTAAATACTAGGAAAACAGAGCACAAAATATTTATACTTGTAAAAGGAAAGGTGGAGGAAAATAAAAAGCTGCTAAGCAAACATTAGTTCAGCATTAGTTTGCTGAGGGAGGAGCTGCACATTTTAATACATTTACAAAGTCACATATCTGCTCTGCCTTCATGGTTTCATGGTTGTTTGCAAAGACCAGAGGCACAATTATTATTGCCTTAATTTTGTGATTCATGTAAATTCCTAGAGAGAAAGCAATGCAACGTGACTTTTCCAAGTAAGAAATCAAAAAGTCCCGGTTTAAAGACCACTAGGGTGAAGCAGGATGTGAAATCCATGCCTTTGCTGAATAGATAGGAAGGAGGTGATGCATTTTTAAATGATCCTTTTTATAGCCACAAATTTGAAATGGCAGGATTTGGAGTACAATGGCAGATGGAGTATCTTCAGGACACTTTCCGCCAGTTTTGCTATTCTTGGATGTTTTGTGCTTTCCTCTTCCTCCGGTCCTCCAAGTCACTCTATGTTATCTGTTTTCTCTCACTGGCCTGGCCTCTCCTTCCTCTCTCATATGCCTTATAATGTACATATCCTGCTGCCTGGTACTGCTTTCCAGGCCTAGACAAAGAGCTATTTATGGCAGCCAAGTCATCACAATGGTTTTGTAAATAAGGAACTTAGCTGAGTTAATGATTATCATCTTATTTGGGTTTCACTGTAGATCAAAGAGCAGTTTGGAATTTGATTTACTATGAGATCGAAAGTTTTAGCATTCTTATTTTGGAGTTGCAAAGAAAGAGAAACGCAGGCAAACTCCCCCTCTCCATGAGTTGGCAGTTACTCCACAAGCTTATGTTTGCAGTACCTGCTGCTTGCATGAGACCCCGACCGTCTTCAGACTGAGCTACACCCCCGCCTTTGTTTTATTTTTAGACAGGATCTGCTTAAGTCGGACTATTTGGTTGCCTAAACTGAGCTCGAATTGGCCATCCTCCTTCTTCAGCCTCCCAGAGTGCTGAGGGTATAGGTGTTCACTAGGATACCCTATTTACAATAGGTTTTGACAGTTCCAAAAATCAGAATAACAATTGTAAGCAATTTGGAGTATAACTCTGGTATGTTCTCCACTGTCCATTATACTGTAACTTGATAGTTTGCTCCGAAACACATTCAGGTATTAATTATGGAGATTATAGTCAGACACGAAAATTATTAAGTTATAATTAAGCATTGTATACATCCATGCATACATGCAGCTTACAAAGCTATTCTGGCAGTTGTCGTACAAGAATTATATAGGACTTCATGAAAGACAAATGCAGAAAATATGTGTCTACTAGGTAAAAGAATGTATAAATTTATTTGCTTGCTTTTGTAAGACATGTAGTATTTATCTGATAAAAAGGAGAAAAGCATCTTTTTGTAATATGGATCTGCTATTATGTATTATATTTGCAATGATGGATCAGGAAAGGGCATGTTACAAAGGGTCACATAAATAATTACCTTGTAAGCCAGGTATGGTGACATATATCTTCAATCCAACTACTCCCATGCCTGAGGCAAAAAAATCACAAATTCAGGGCCAGCATGGGCAACTTAGCAAGATGAGGTCTCAAAATAGAAAAACAAAAAGAGCCCTCAATGGTAAAGTGTGTGTGTTGTGATACCTTGGTACAATCCCCACGAGTATAAAAAGCAAAAGTCCCACTGCACGTACATAAGGCTTTTAATTTTGTTTATTTCCTTTGCAGTCCTAGTGATGGAACCCAGACCTTCACACTGAGCTAATCTCTGACCCCCTTTTAATTTATTTATCATGTGCCACCATGCTCAGCTTGCTCTAGTGGGACTTATAAGTAACAAATTTGTTTCTTTCTTTTTGGAATTCTGGAGGCTGTGATGTCCAAGATCAGAGAGCCATATGGTAGGGCTCTGTAAGAGCCCATTTTCAAGCTACAAGCTCATTCTCAGCATCTTGCTGTGTCCTCATATAACAGAAGGCCAAGGCAGCAGTCTGGGGCCTCTGTTAGTGACAGAATTGTGGTGTGGCTGAAAAGATAAGAAGTATGAAATATAAATGACCTTTGTTTTAAGAATGCAGGGAGAGACCCCCTGACCCACAAGGGTCCGGCATTCTCTCCCCGGGAGTGGCGATCTCTCTCTGGGGTCTGGGAATCTCTCTGTCGGACACGTGGAGTGGGGGCATACATGTAGCTCTGTGGTTTTTAGCATTTCTTAAAGTATTGACAGCTTGAAGAAAATTCAGAAGCTGCCTGCTCTCATTTGTGGATTGCTTCTACATTATATGAGGTATATCAAGAAACTTTGACTTTATAGAGTTCTTTGAAAAAGGCTTGTGAAGTCTTTGATGTGCAACAGTGAAAATACAAGAGATGCATCCTCTACCTGTGGACACAGGCCAGATCGAACCAGCTCTCCACCTCCAAAGGGTCTCGCAACCCCATTTCCCAAGGATGGAAGGAGAAAAAAATCACAAAACAGATGCGGATCAAGTTGCTGGTCTTGGTGGGACCTCCGAATGATAAAGAGGAAATAAATATAAATCGCAGCCTGCTGGATAAGCCAAGTTCATGTTCCCCAAAATTGAAGAATGAATTCTAAGGAACAACAGAGGATAAGAGTAGGAAAATTTTGTTGAGAAAGACAGCTCCTGATAGAAGGAGGCTGGAAAATCGTATGGACCCCATTTTTTAGAGTAAGTTTCGTAGACCAAAATCATGAAGTACAACAGTATAAGGTGGGCACGTGATGGGACAAAACTATGGTTGGCCAGTAAGATTACAAGCTTAACTGTTTAGATAATATTGATCCAATAGGGAAGCAGGTTACAGAGCTAATGAATGTCCCTAGGAAGAACAAGGAAGAGCCTTTTAGGAAAAGACAAAGCAGGGACTTCCAGCCACCCACCAGGTCGATGTTAATAGTATTTGTTGTTTATCTCACAGAGAGCTGTGTGGGCTGGTCACTGGGGCCTGCCCTCCAACAGGTGCACCTCTAGCCACAGCTGTAATGTGTTTTCTTTCATCCTTTGTATTTCATCCTCTCCCTCCAGGGCCCAATCCTGTCTTAATTGCCTAAGAATATTTCTACCTAATTTAGCTGTCTATAACATTCCCCCCTCTGAAGAGGTCCCCCTAACTGCGTGAAGAGGTGATGGGCGATGATTGCTCTGGCTGCCTATGGCTGAAGGGGGTCATAGTTGTGATCACCAATCAGGGACACTCCAGGCTGGAAAAATACTTGGCATATCCAGAGGAATTTGCTGGTGGCTACCCTCCAGGTCACAAGTTGTGGCTTGTGAATTTCAAAGCACTTAAAAATCACTTAAAAATTTAGAAGAGATTCTAATTCCACTGCAAAGTTCAGTGAGGCCCTGGGATTTATAATGTTAGTTACTGTCTCCCTGTCATTCTGGAAAGGTCTCAATGTTAGCATTTGCTAATTGATAAAGGTAGAGCATCTTGCTATTCTCTGCCAGTGTATTTATTGAGGAGATCAAACCAGAATTCTTGTTTTCTTTTGCCAGTTTGAAAATGCAATATTTTTATTTTTGTAATTCAGTGGGGATGGGGGAAGGTGGGGAATGAGTTGTCATTATTTCTCTAAATATCATTTTGTAGGGAAAGGTTCCTTATAGTGATGTCATTAATTTTTAAAGAATCTCTCCTAACTTTCAAAGCACCACTTTGGGAATTCTTTGAAGGGTGCAGTTAATTTATCTGAGTCATAGAGGTTAGGTTTACCTGCAGAAGAGTGGTATCTAATCAGTGCTGACCGTCCTCACATCAGAGACGTACGTTGTGCAAAAATCATTTAGTCATTTGAAAAATGAACTTTCTATTCTGTGCCTAGATTCATGTTTCCTGCTATGTATTTCAGAAAATAAAATATGTTAAGTTTAGTATACACATTACCAAAAACACTGGTTTTAAGATATAACTTTAGAGGCTGAGGCTGTAGCTCTGTGGCAAAGGAGTCACTAGCATGGGCAAGGCCCTGAGTTCTATCTCCAACACCACAAAACAATTATATACACTGCAAGCATGTGCTAATAAACAAATTTTTAAAAATATGTACATATAACTATACATAAAACTTTCATATAACTATACATATTACTAGATATGTATATGGTTGTATATATATGGTTAAACTATTGTTTTAATCAGTCATTTTTATTCATGTAAGTTAAAAAACTAGACATTTTTTCTTATGTTTGCTAAAAATAAACTGCCCTTGCCTAAAAGCCATATATGGAATATTTACCACTCAAGGAGACAGTTTTCCTTGCATTCTTAACGAAAGCATTCACTCCGATGAATAGATGTAGCATTTTCTCACACAACTTTGAGTTGAGTTTTACAGAACACTTATGTGGTATTATGCAGAAGATATGCTGCCTCCCGTGCAAACCTTTCACATGTAAATAGAAAGTACAGTTTTCTAAAGCTAAAAAGAAAACTAAAGTTAAAGGTATTTCCCATTTACTGATATTTACTTAATCATCCTGAGAAAGACTTCTCCTCTTTTATCTGAATAACTTTGCTGACCCTCAGACCTTAATCCACTTTGTGTATTTTAAAATAATATGGAAACTGCACTGAGTTTTTATTTCTGTAGACACAGCTAACCCGGTCTATGTTACCCGGGTCTATGAAAATCTTGGGAGTTTTGCATGTACCTTACTTACTGCCTGGCAACCGTCTTTCCAGGAAATCATAATCAATGTTTTCTGGACTTCACCAAATGATGTGAGACCTGGAAGTCTGATGTCTTTTTTTTAATATAAGAAAATAGAGGCAATGTGTTTATAAACAGTGACTGAATTTCACGTATGTGCATTGGAAGTATATGAAAATAAGAAAACATTATGAGTGAGTTTTTCTTTCAAATATAGAAGCAAAAGATGCCATGTTATTTTCTAAAACATTTCTAAGCATTTTTATAGAAGGCAATAAGAGCTGGTTAACCATTGTGTCCCCATGTATGAAGAGAGCTAACTGTGAGGATTTATTTACAAGAGCAGTTAAATTTTACTTTTGTATCTTGAAGGACCTCTATTTTTCACTGGGAGAGTTGGGCAGAGCAGAAAAGAGGTACTGGGGAAAGGGTGTGTTTTGAAGCCAGTTTTAAAGTTCTTTTGATTTCCAAGCCTATCATTCCCTCCTCCCTTCTTCTATTCTTTCAGTCACCTTGATGGAAATCAGATACCAGGGATCTTACTTGCCAGGGCCAGAAATCAAAATAGATTAGCCCAAAACTGAGCAATTGGTTAAGCAAAACAATGACCAGAGATAATCAGCATCAGCTATGGCTGCATCCAGGCCCCCACAAAAGAACCTTTCCCCTTCTCTCTATCTCCAGGTTCAGGGTGCCTTCCCAGTGAGTAGCTTTCTTCTCTGTGCCTGAGAGATTGGATTGTGCGAAGTTTATAAAAGGGCATTGTTTTCCCCAGCGATTCTCAATCAGTGGCGTGGAAGAGGGTTTTCCTTCCCCAGAGCACCCGGCTGGGAGCTGGGTTGAGTGTTGGTCACACCTGAAACAGAATGACAGGTGCTCCAAAGTGGCCCGGCATGAGGCTTGGGCGGTAGAAGGGGCACGCCCACTCTGCTGCTAAGGACAAGGTCAAGGGACAGAGCTACACATACAGGGAGCCAGGAGGGAAGGAGACTGCTGACAGAAGGGTGAGCTCATGTCTGAGAATTGCTGGAAATGACGACAGGGATGTCAAACTTCTCGTCTTTAGATCTCACCAGGTAACACTAAATTGCCCAGCCTGGACTCAAACTTGGAATCCTCCTGCCTCAGCCTTCAGGAGTGCTGAAATTACAGATGTTTGTTTACTTTGGAGTTTTAGTGACAGGAAGAGCTTAACAAAGATAGACAAAACATACTACATTTTATTCTACAGTGGTCTGGGCTACTCATGCTGAATTCTACATATTTTATCTCTTTGAATCTTTATTTTAAAAATCCCTTTTCTAATTTTTATTAAAAATAACCTATCATTATCTCTGTATTCAGGATAAGGACAGCGAGACTTTAAAAGACTAAGAAACTTGCCTAAAATCATCTTCGTGCAGTGCTCCCTCCTGAAATTCTGGAGGGAGGATGGTGGAGGATGAAGACATGAAGACGAGAGTCAGAAAGCTGAGGTCAGGTGGAGCCCCTCACCTGATGGACGAAAGGACCGTCCAGCAGCTGTGGCATGGTCATTCATACAAGCAGCAGAAGAGGCTGCTTAGGGAGAGTTTTAAGAGGATAAGATCTGGACAGGAAGAGCATCCAATCTCCAACAAAATATCACACCCTGGTGGTTATATGGGGAATAAGAGAGGAGGCATCTGTACCATCTCAGGGGGAGGACAAGTCACTGTATGTGTCAGCTCCTGAGCTGCGTAGCCTTCTCATGGGGCCCGGACAAACTCATGAGAAGCAGGGACCTTGTCTTGGATACTGAAGGTACAGGCAGCTACTCTCCCAACACTGGGGCAGAATCTGCCCCAAGGAGGGATTTTCCCCGGGTTCCTTCACTGAGCAGGCATGATAAAGGTTCTACAAGAGATACTGGAGGAATACCCCAGCCAGACACAGGAGAGAGGAGACACAGGAGAGAGGGAGCTGTGGAATCAGGACTGGGTGCCTCAGAGTTGATGCAGGAGACTAGTCTTGGTGGTGCATGCCTGCAATCCCAGCTATTCACGAGGCAGAGGCAGGAGGATCACTAAAATTCAAGACCAGCCTAGCAACTTAGCTGTCTCAGAATAAAACTAAAAAAGCTCGGTGGTCATGAGACCCCAAATTTCATCCCCAGTATCAAACAAAGAAAAACAAAAACAAATGCAGGAGGACCTACTGTGTGCCTGGAGAGCTACCACCAGTTGTATTACCTCAGGAAACAATCCATCTGCCTTTCTTTCACCTGAATTCCCCATGAATCTTATTCTGAAGGCGCCCTGCCACCGATAGTCTCTTTTTGTGTTGCTCTGCTAGAGAAGCTTCATCTTTTACAGATCACAGACTAGCGGGAAGCATTTAACCAGGTCTGTTCATTTGATAGTTTGGGGAACGGAGAGCCAGAGGTTTATTCAAAATCACACAGCTAATGAGTGGCAGAGCTAAGACTTGACTGTACCCAGATGCATTCCACACCCTGTGTTTCTTACATTCTAACGCCAGTCTCCAAAGAAAGATTCCTCCCTGTTAGCAAAGTCACTCGGCTGTGTGATCACCAGTCAGACTTAATATATTAACCTAAAAGTTTTTCTTCCTTCCTCCCTTTTCCATCTCCCACTGTCTTAAGAATGCTTTGATTCTTGAATACAGACAATTCTCTCTCTCTCTTTCTCTCTCTCTCTGCATTAGTTACATCTTGCAACAAAGCTATGATTTTACTCTGATGTAGAGGCTTTATGTATTTTAAACTCTGGTTTGACCTGTCTACATTTGCTCTAAATGCCCATATTGCAAACAGTGGTGAGGTGCCATAAAAATAAAATGTTCTTATTGTTGAAAATGTCCACAGCCAGAGAATGAGGCCCCATTCCATCTCCATCCACTTCCTTTCCTTCTCATTTAGTGGATAAGTACTTAGCCTTTTAAAAACCTTTCCATGTGAATCAGGAAGTAAAATATTTGTTATGTGTCCAAACTGTGAAAGTTAATGAATTACAAAAAATGCATACTTTGTGAAATGCATTTTATATCTCTTTATGCATGAGGTACACAGAAAGAGACACTGTCTTTCAGAGCCACAGAGAACCTTACAAAGCAGAGGTTACATTACTTCTGTGAGATTTCTAAATCCCTACAATACACAGTACATAATTCTCTCTGTGGATTAAATAAAGCAGAACATATTATTCCTTTTTCACCTATTGTCTAACACTTAAATAAACTTTCCTATCTTGTACTTTCTGTCCACCCTCTTAGAAACTGAAAGTTCTCTTTGTATAGAAAGATGGTATTGATTTAATTTCAAAGCCGTGCTAAATCTTTAAGCAGGAAGACTTGAAGGTTAGATTTTTGTTCTCACTAAAAACAAACTGTTCCTTCCTAGAAATTGTGGAATGCTTGCAAAATTCTTTAATAATGAATAAATAAGTCTCAAATGACTGGTATAGGAAAGGAGCAAGACACAGTCACTCTGACATGAAGAATAAATCTAAGAACAGTTTTGTATGAAAATAAAGGTCTTTGCATGTCTACAAGGCAAATGTATTCAGAAGGGCCCCTGCTGGGTGCAAATCCATGCTTCTTGGGCATGGGGCCTACTGCCGATTCATGAGCTGCTCACCCTAAGTCCATTTGCCTGGCGCTGGCTTTTCTCCTTTATACCATGGAGTCTGGCTGTGGGGTTGTCTGGTTCACTCTGGGGTTGATTGGCTACAGCTGGTCTTGGAAGCCAATAACTCTTCATGTGGCGTTAAGGGTTGCAAATTCCTACCCCCCAGGATGCACCAACAGCTGAAACAGCAGCCAGGAAAGGGTTAGTTTATGCTTTTGAGGGTAAAAACACCACTTGTGGTCATGTCTGTCTGGAATCTCATTCTGTGTTTTCCAGAGACATTTCACTCTAACCCTGGAAGTCATAAAAACATATTCTGTGGTTATATGTTACTGGAGGCACTGGAGCTTTGCACATACTAATTAACATATTTTTATTTCACCTGGGCTTTGGGAACAAAGCGATACAAATAAAAACATGCACTCCTACATACACATAATTTATAGAAATCCAGAGACCAAGTCACTAACGTTATAAGTGGCCCTGTAGACTCTGGAGAAGGCTGGAAGTGAAATGAATTCCCGGCCTGCAAATTATTCTCCAACATCTGTCCTCTTTGCTCAGTCTCTGTGTTTTCATTAGATGTGTTATTATCTGGTTACAAGTAATGGATGGATTTGGGTTTTGCAATCAGCCGACCTATGTTTGAATGCCGGGCTAGTGGCTTCTTAGCTGTGTGACACAAAGCTCCTCATACAAAGCCTTTATTTGTTCATCTTTTCCTTTAAAGGATAGTTCCTACTTCCTGTCTCATTGGCAGAATTAAATGAGATCATATAAAAGCACTTAGTGTATTAGATAATGATACCTAAAATAGTCAAATTCAGAGAGATAGAAAATAGAACAGTGGTGGCTGGGGCCTGGGGAATAGGAAATGGGGAGCTGGTGTTTAATACAGAGTTTCTGTTCTACAAAATGAAAAAGAGCTCTGGAGATGGAATGTGACGATAGTTGCACAACACTATGAATATACTTAATGTCACTGAACTGTACACTTGAAAATGGTAGATTCTTGGTACATGTATTTTCCATAATAAAAAGCACAGCACTTAGTCCACTGCCAGGCAACTTCCACTGCCTCTGCCTCCTTCCCCAGTCCCCCTTTTTGCCCCTTCCCTGGAGACCTGATCAGAGGCTATTTGGAGCTCTCTGAGCTTGGACATAACCCTAAGGAGTAGTACCGGATCCACTTTTTGGAAATGCAGAATCATAGATGTCAGAGATGAAAAACACTCAGGGAACAAGTCCTACTTAGTCCTATTGCATATGAAGAAATGGAAGTCTGGAAAAATTCAGTCATTTGGTTTAAACCCAGCAAATCAGTGGCAGAGCCAGGACGGAATCCTGGATTAGTTACTACTTCCAGGACCGGTTTGCTTCCCAGGAAATCTTGGATCTTCAGTATCTGGGGATCTGGGCCACTCTGTAATCTCGAATGGGCTAAGGAATTTTCTATACTCTGACTAGAAACCTTCAAAGTCTGGATCATAAAACATACGCTTGGTAGGCAGATATTTTAAACAGTGTTGCTGAGGTATGAATGACCTTCAATAACTGCACATATTTAAATTTTGTCACTTAATAAGCTCTAATGTATATTTATACTATGAAACCATCTCCACAACCAAGATAATGACCTGTCATTTCCAATGTTTCTTTGTGCATATTCGTAATGTCTCTCTATCCCACTTCATCACCAGTTGGTCGCCAGTCTGTGCTCTGCTACTACAAGGATTTTCTAGGATAAATGGAAACCTGTGTACTCCTGGTTTGATTCCTCCTTTCACCTACATAATTATTTTGGGATTCACCCATAGTTTTGCATGTCGATAGTTCACCCCTCTCATAATTTTAGCTACTCAGGGGACAGAAGCAGGAGAATTTCAGAGTCCAGGCCAACCCAGACTACTTAGCAAGACCTTGTCTTAAAAAATAAAAAGGTCAGTGCTGGATATGCAGCTCAGCACCCTAGGTTCAGTCCTCCTATTCCTCTTATTGCTGAGTAGAAAGTAACCCATTCTTAGATATACAATGTACGTCATATAACCATGGATTAGATATAATCATCTATTGTCTACACGTTCTGCACCCAGAGATTGAACCAAAGCAAGTCAACATATTTGAAAAAGTCTATCTGTGCTTGACTGTGTACAAAAATTTTTTCTTGGCATTATTCTCTAAATAATGCAGTAAAGCAACTATTTACATAGCATCTACATCATACTAGGTACGGATGTATTCTAAAGTATGCAAAAGGATATATATAGGCTATATGCAAATACTATGTCATTTTATACAAGGAACTTGAATATCGGAAGAGTTTGGTATCTGCTATGGTTCCTGGATCCAATACCCCACAGATACTGAAAGACAAATGTACCACAATCTGTTGATCCATGTAGCTGTTGATGTATATTTGGGTTGTTTCCAGTTTGAGGCGATTACAAATAAAGCTGATATGGACAGTCCTGTGAAGTTCTTTTATAGAGACAGGATTTCTGCACTAACCATGTGTTTCTGATGTTTGACATGTGAGTTGTTACTGATTTTGGAGAAGCTGCCTCTTCCAAAGTTAGCAAATCTTAGAATTGGCAAATGATTGTCCCCCACAAGCGTAACTTTCATATGCATAGCTAACCAATTTAAGAGCCCATATCCTCCACCTACCTCTTTTATCAGACTGTTGCAATTGGGCCATGACACACCTTCCATCAGCCCTCCAGGACTATGTATTAGAGAACTTGGAGCAGTTCCTAAACCCTAGAGCCTGCTGAAATTATTCAAACTAGTCAACCACAGATACACATAGCATGCTTATTATCCTGCCTCACCTGTTCCTTCCTGCAAAAACCACAGTAAAGGCTCTTGCCCAGATTTCTGCTTCAATTCCTTTGCCCCATGTCTGTCCTGCATGTGACCTCTGATATGGCCAGCTACCTCTCCTGTTTCCAGGAAACTGAAAGTCAACTTCTCTTCCCTGACCGTCATCACTGTGTCTGCATGTCTTATTAGACCTGACTAAAACTACTCCGAGGTACATTTCAAAACACTTAGACTTTCTGAGTAAATCCTAGCAGAATTACTGAATAATATATATATTTCAGTTGTTAAAACCCTCCAAACTAGGGGCTGAAGGTTTATCTCAGAGGCATAAGCGCCTGCCTTGGAAGCAGGCAGTTGTGAGTTCGATCCCCGGTACCGATAAAAAGGAAAAAGACAAACAAAAAAATTAAAAACCCTCCAAACTGTTGTCTAGAGTATGTATACAGTTTCTGTTCCCAACAGAAGCAAACGAGAGTTCCAACTGCTTTACTTCCACACCAACACTTAGTATGATCAGTCATTTCAATTTTAGTCATTCTAAAAGCTGTGATCTCCTTCTGTTTTTAATCTGCACACCTTTGGTGAATAATGATCTTGAAGATTTTTTCATGTGCTGATTTTTTTATTTTAAAGAGGACAAAGCCAAGGAAAATAAAACAGAATAAAACCAATCAAAATAAACCAGTATAAGTGATAGTGATACAATACTTCAAAACTGCAAAATCAGCAATAGTTAGCATAATGCCTTTTGTTGTCTTCAAAATAGCTGCAGATACCTTCAGACATAGTAAAAATCAAACAGAACAGAATAGAATAGAAACAATAAAAACAAAACAATGAATGCAATAAAGGACTTCAAAATAAGTGGCTACCATAACATATCTTGCTATCTTTTAAATAGTTGTTCATGCCATCAGATTTAACATAATCAAACAAAACAAAAGAGAATAAAACCTAAGCCAAGAAAACAATGCAAATGATATGGTTTCTGGGGGAATCACCTCCATGTGAGGCCTGGTTCTCTCCCTCCCCAGTCCTCGAATGGCTCTGGCACATGCCGAGAGGCTTGGATGTGGCTGTCCCTCTTCTGGCAGCGGCCTGCACATGGTGCTTGTTTACAGGCAGGGATCACCTCGTGAGGGCTGGTTATTTCTCTGCAGTCTGTGAATGGCACTGACTCATGTTGTGTGCTAATTTGCCATTCTTCTTCTTCTTTGTATCTCTACAGATATTTTATAGGCTCTTCATAGAGTTCATTGTTGAGGGTTTTTCTTAATTGTTGAGGGTTTTTCTTAATTTTATTTTAAAGAGAATAAAATCAAACAAAATAAAACAGAATAAAGCCAATCAAAATAAAACAGTGAAAGTGATACAGAACTTCAAAACAGGATAATAGGAAATCAGCAATGGCTACCATAATGCCTCTTCTTATCTTCAAAATTGCTGCCCATAGCATCAGCATAATAAAGTCAAATAAAACAGAACAGAATAAAACCAATCAAAACAGAACACTGAAGAAAACAAAATAACAGAGCAAAGCAAAACAGTGAAAACAGTGTTGGATTTCAAAAACAAGACAGAAGGAAGTCCCCTGTAGTTGCTATATTGCATATTCTTATGCTCTAAATAGATGCTCAGACTACCAGCCTCAGGACTACTACGTCAGTCAAACAGTACAAACACTAAGTTGTTTTTGTACTTCAGTTGCTATCAGCTCAGCCTGTCCTGTAAATCAGCCAGTTGCTTATTGGGGAGGAGGGAGGGCTATGGTCTCTTCTAACCACACACCAGCCCTCTCTTGTTACTCCTCCCAGGCGCAGCATGGCTTCTCCTGACTCACAGGAAGGGCAACGTGACTTATTGTTGGGTTTTGAGATCTCTTTATATATTTTGAATATGAGTCTACTATTAAGATATATGGTTTGTTAAGATTTTCCTCCATTCTCTACCTTGTCATTTTGTTCTCTTAATAGGGTCTTTTGAAGAACAGAAGTTTAATCTTAATGAGGCCAACTTTGTCAATTTTTCCTTTCAATTTTTCCTTTCATGGGCTTAAGATTTCTAAGAAGTCTTTGTTTGTCTCCAAAAGTTTTGACTCCACTTCTTTCCTAGAGGTTTTGCAGTTTTAGATTTTCATTCATTAAGGCCTATGATATATACCCCAGGGTTGCTTTTATTAATCTGCTACGAAATACTAATTGAAGTGTTTTCATTTGCTTGTTTTGATTGTGGACATCCAGTTAATTCCAAAAGAATTTGTTGAAGAGACTGTTGTATTTCCCGTAGAATTGCCTTTGCGTCTTCTATTTCTGGATTCTCCATTATATTCAGTTGATCTGTTTGTCAATATTTCTGCAAATTCCATGTTGTCTCGATTGATATAGATTTTTAAGAAGTCTTGAAATCAGATAGTGTTAGTTCTCTAACTTCATTTTTCAAAGTGATTTTGGTTAATTTAAGCCTCTTCCATTTAATAAGAATTCTAGAATCATATTGTCATTTTCTTCAAAGAATCCTTCAGGAATGTTGATAGTAATATATGATAGTGTATAAACCTGTAATCTCAACAAGATTAACTCTTTCAGCCCTAGAACATGTGTATCTCTAAATTTTTAAAGGTTCTGTAACTTTTCTAAGCGAATGTTTTATAGTTTTCAGTATATGTATATTTCACCTTTTGAAACTTACCCTAAAGTACTCCAAATTTTTGATACTCTTAAATAGTATTCTTTTCTTAATTTTAATTTCCAGTTGGAAGAGAAAAAAGAAAAAGCCTATTTCCTTCAAATACGAATGATCTATTTCCATAGAGAACAGTGAAACAATGGATTTCCTGTTCTATTTTCGCTGCTATCTTACTAAAGAAGTTCTACAAATGAATTTTCCTCTCAGCCTTTCAAATTAAAAACCACGTGTCCTATAAAAAGTCTGAAAAAGGACTCATCCTCCTCGGACCTCATGGTCCTCTTGCAAAAGTAGCTCAGCAAGCTGATTGCATTAGACACAACTTTCCAGGGTTTGGTAAGGATTCTGTCAAGAAGTGTAATAGGGATGAATTGTACCTGCTAGGACAGCATCAACTTTCGCACTTCCTGACTTCACGATGATGATTAAAATTGAAATACTAACATGGTAATCCCCAAAGTGCCTGGATTTAATAGCATTAATTGCCTGGTCCCCATAAGTGCATAAATTCTTATTTAAATGTCAGCTACCCTATGTACACTTTCTGGGAGTACTTAACTATTCATTCCTTAGCTACTAACTTCTCCCAGTACAAACAGCCTCACCGCCGACCCCCCACCCTCATAAGGAGTGAGTAAGCAGCTCCGCCTCCCAGAGAAACTATTGTCTTGGGGAGGCGGCCTCTGGTCTGAACTGATCTGGGCACCATCCACAAAGCTCTTGTGCTCTCAGATCCCTGAGGAAATGAGTTCTGATAGACTCTTTTGGCATAAAATATTTAAAAACAGAGATTAGGTTAGCACTTTTAAGATTATTTGCATTTCAGAAGACTGTAACTTAATGTAGAGATGTTTATTCTAGTGATGGATTTCGGACATTGTGGGAGGAAAAGACATAAAAAGGTCAGAGAGCCTTCTTTCATTCCCTCTAACTTTGTTGTTAGTCATGATGTATGGAAAAAATTGTCCATCTTTCACCTCTGACCATGAGAAAACTGCAGAGTAACTCTGGAGATATATCACTAATGCACACAAAATTTCTGCCTCTGTATCTCCAACCACGTGACAATGAATCACAGACTTTTTAGGATTCCACCCTTTTGAAAGTTGAGAAGATAGAGCATTGTGTGCACAGTTACACTGAAGAAAGTTCATGGCCAGGTTGAAATGCCACTGTTAACCATTACCCAAGCCTTTCTTCACCATGCTCATATCTCAGGCATGGCAGTACTAGATCATGTTGATTAAGCCCCCAATGTCCAAAACTTCAAATGTCACTTACCATAGAGGACAAGATTGGGGAACTAAGGAAGACACTCACAGAAACAAGGGAAATGTAGAGCCCAGCTCAGCTCTGCACATGCATGAGACACAGCGGTACTAAGAATCTCACTGGAAAGGCTATGTACATCCAGTGAGTTCAAAAGCCATGCAAGAGGCTCGGGATTTAGCTCAGCGGCATAAGCACCTGCCTTGCAAGCAGGCAGTCGTGAGTTTGATCCCTGGTACCGATAAAAAGGAAAAAGACAAAAAAAAAAGCCATGCAAACCCTAAGCTGGAAGCATTTTAAAGATGGCATGAGGAAATCTTAAATTGGGGTTCCCTGATATCTCCAAAACTCTTCCCTCTCAAATTCAGAGCAGACTTTCAGAAGGACAGTGAAACTACAGCCTCTGTAAAGATCTTATTTTCTAAAAGTGTGGAATAGCAGCACAGTTGTGCATGTCTAAAGGAAGTCTGCCTCAGCCTGGGCTTTGTGTTCACACCTCTCATGCCTTTGGGCCTGTTTTCTAGCAGAAGTTTAAACGCTGAGACAAACACTTGCCATGAGTTGTCACTGAAGAGGAACTGCTGGCATTTTTCAGGGCCATCTCCCACCCTCTATACTCCTATGGCAGATCCTTGAGCAGAACAGGTGTCTGTGTCTCCCAAGCATATGAGGAAAAACAAGTTACTTTTGAGTGATACACCCTATTCCATGGTGCCTAAGTTCACCTACATGAATAAACCACGAAGCCTACAGTAGTTATATACGCAAAGGATACTCTCCAGAACAGCAGCCTAAAGAATACGTATTTATTATCTGACAGTTTCTCTTTGGTAGGAAACCTAGGAACAGCTTAGCTGGGTTGTTTCCCTCAGGGTCTCGGTGAGGTAGCTGGTGGCTACAGCAGCAGTGACAAGAGGCTAGAGGGTCTGGTTCTAAGTTCACTCACATGGGTGTTGGCAGGACTTGGTTTCCTGCTCACTGTTGGTGAAGTAGCTCACTTCCTTGCGTGTGGACCTTTCCAAAGGCTGTGGACATTCTCATGATGTGACAAAGTTGGCTTTCCTCAAAGAACGTGATCCAAGAGAGACACCAATATGGCAACCACAGTTTTTATAACTTGGAAGTGACATACCATCACTTCTTTGATAACCTAGGGGTCATACAGACCAGCTCAGACCCAGTGTAAGCGCGAGGGGCAAGGACCACTAGGGACCATCTTGGAGGCTGTCTACAACCTCCCATCTGATTATGCCAGCAAACAGTCGGCCTTGGTCTGTGATATAGTGAATATCAGTTAACACTTAGTAGCTCATACGTACCACAACCCAGTGGTAGAAGTAGTTCAGTTGTGACAATTATGAATGTAATTGTCATGTAACATGACTTTGGAATACTGTTATACTTTTTGGGGAGCCCATTATCTCATCTGTAAAATGAGTGTTATGAATGGTCTCAAAGACATCTCTCAGATCTGAAATCTGTGCCATGAAGAAATATACCATTTCAAAAAGGAATGTTATGAAAACCATTTTGTTTAACAAAATGGGTCATTTTTCAATGGACAGTTCCCTTATTTCAAAGTAATAAAGCAACTGTAGAAATGGCACCCTAAAGTTTTCTTATACTTCCTCTCTGCTCATAATAACATACTTTTCCTTGTATAATGCTTTAAGGTCTAACACACTCCTTTCACATATCCAAGTGACTTCATCGGTGTGGAAGGGGTCAAGCACGCAAAGCCTTACAGAGCTCTGTTCTCTCTCCCTTTGCTAATGGCAGAGGTTTACACGGGTGGCAGTTTGGCCAGAGCTAATGGACTTCTGATAAGAACATACAACTAACATATGACCCAAATAAGTGAGTGAAAAATCCTATTTGCCTAAAACCTCTAAGTCTATAAACATTGCTGCAATGGCTTAGTATGTGCAGAGTGGACCAGCAGTATAAAGAACAGTGGAGCTGTTTATTTTATGGACGAATGTAGTACAAGCAGATGACAGGGGAAAGTGTCTTAGAAGGTTTATCTTCAGAAATGATAATAGGAAAACCATTTTGTTTATTGTTTATTGTCCAGTTTCTTGATCGTGGCACATGGGCCTGTACCTCAGGATATTCCCATTTTCTCTATCTGGTATTTACTAAGGTCCAGGTCAATGATCATCCCTGCAGACATCATTCCTGAGTGGCATCTTTCCCCTACGGTCTGTCTCTGCTACACCCTAATCTCATATCTTGGTGTACTTAGCACTATGTAAAATCAGTTTGCTAGTATACTTCATTAAAATGCTTACCCCCAAAGTGTGGAAGGGAGGGAGGGGAATAAGAAAATAAAAAAAGAATCAAGATATATCCTGTTCAGATGCAAATACCAATAATTTTTTAACTTTACCTCCAATTTTTTTAAATGTTCACCTCTACCTTCTGTAAGTTATCTGAGAGAGAACACATCATCTGTCCTGTTAATGAATGGTTCACCCCCAATCCCTGTGCAGAGTGTGCTCAATAAGTATTTGTTAAGTGAATACATGAATCATCGGTCTGGGAAAGTTTGTGGTTTGATGAAGGGAAGTTTCAGAAGACATGTTGCTAGTACTATAAAAGTATATTGAATGGGCCAGATTTTCATTTCCTTTGGGCCAGTAATTGGGTCCAAACCTGAGAACAAAGATTCTCTGGTGTAGCATACAGAAGATAACCCTGAACAATTCAGAGTAGACCCAGGGTTCCTCAGTGATTGTGGGGGAAGAGGCACTGCTACCAAAACCAACGACAACACCCCAGGAAGGAGAGAAAAGGAGAGAGGGCTATTTCAGGAGTATGTGGGAGCATCAGCTTACTGTGACAGGAACAAGAGAAGAGATTTTCCCTTTTTGAACCCCAGAGAATATTGCTGTGAGGAGACGCATGCTGGCGAGAGTAAGAGACTGGCGCCTCTTTCACTGTTCAGGGAGCAGAGCAATAGTTCAGCTTCTGGCTGTGTTAACCTGAGGGGAAGGGAATAGGAGAAAGAGGGCAGAGTGAAGCAGGGAGAATCGCCATGAAGCCAACGCACTGGTACTACCTGGGGAGGCAAGAATGGGGAGGAGTCTGCCGGGCCGTGATCAGCATGGCGCCATCCTGAGAGCACTCCACCAGCAGAGGGGCTCCATGTCTAGTCTGGGATGCATGCAGTGTGTCAGGTGGGACAGTGCCACTGCTAGTGGGGGCTGTGTGGCAGTGAGCGGGTAAACAGGAGCTTGATCCCTCACCTCCAGTGATTATGCAGTTTTCAGTGTTAACACAAGGAGCAGAGTAAATCATGAGAGAGAACTCACCTAATCTTTCTTTGCCACCCTAAACCCACCAAGGAGCTGGATTCGGGGGGCAAGGAGGGAAGAGGTGCACAGAGGCAGATGGTGCCCCGTCTCCAGGATGTCCCCAGAGACACCCAGCTGTAACAGGGAAGGGGACAATTTTAAGTTGGATACGAGTTTGGAGTTTTAAGCCACACTGGATTTTTTATAACTGAAAGGGACAGAATTTATAGGCTCCAGCTCAAACGTTATTAAAGGACAAGAAAAAAATATTTAACAGAACATGGTTGAAGGCAGTAACTGGAAAAAATAAATAAATGAAGATGTTTCATTTTCAGTGCTGAACTATCTCATCACTTAGTCACAGCAGGAGAAAAAGGCAACAATTAGTGAGTTTTCTAAACATTTGACTTTTCTTTGGGTGACGTATTGCTGGCTTTTGTCAGAAGGTAAAGTGGCAGGACAGTAGGCAAAAATTCAACATTCAAGGCATTTTGTACTCAAGGCTCAGTTACTCTTTCTTCATGAAGTAACTCACCCTCTCCCTTGCTCCTGATTTTATGAGTCAAGAGAAGTCTCCCTGTCTGTCTGTCTGTCTGTCTGTCTGCTCTCCCCCCTCCCCCTTCTTCCCTCTCTCTCTGGCTTTTGTTTTTATCTTGCCATGTAATTCAGGCTAGCCTTGATGTATAGCCCAGACTGGCTTTGAACTCACAACAGTCCTCCTGCTTCACCCTCCCAAATGCTGGGATTACAGTCATGTGCTACCACGCCTGGCCCTTGAAAAGTACTTTTTGTAAATCATGTTTCTATACAGCAGCTTCAGGGGATTTTTTTAGGCCTTTGAATGAACCATTTACAAACTTTCAAAGGATATTTTTTACTGCATTTGAGTGACTGGACTACTCCCTATGCTTCCTCCCTTGACCTCAAGATCAACGGGAGAAATTCTGAGCCTCTCCCTGCATGGCGCCTCCTGGGAAGGCACTTCCTGTTGCTGGGGAAGCTGGGGTGGGAGGTCTCAGTGGAATTGACATTCGGAAAGCTCTGGACAAGAGAAGCATCATGCAGCTATTGATAACTGGGAAACAAAGCTGATTGAGAAATGAATGAGAGGTAAGTTAGAAATAAAGCATATAGCTTTTGCGTTTTATATATTCTGTTTTGTTGTTGTTTGTTGTTCTTTTGGAGTTTTTTGTCTTTTGAGACAAGTTATCACTATGCAGTTTAGGCTGCCCTTGAACTTACTTTGTAGTCCAGGCTGGTTTCAAACTTGGAATGATCCTCCTACCTCAGCCTCCCAAGTGCTGGGATTACAGGAGTATACCACCACACCCAGCTACACTCTTTGTTTTAAAAAAAAAAAAAATCCAGAGATTGAGTTATAGATTCCTGGCAGAGCACTTGTCTAGCCTGTGTAAGTCCAAGTTCCATCCCCAGGAAAGGGGAAAAAAAGGAAAACAATATATTTCTTGAATGAGAAAAAAACATAGAAAATACATTTTTTAAAAAGTATAAATAAGGCCAAAATGTATAATAGGTATTGTGAAATGGAAAGAAAATATTCAAAAGGGAAGGGGAGTCCAGAAGGGGAGGGGGAAATGAAGGAAGGGAAAAGGGAAAAAATGATGAGAAAAGAAGGAGAAATGGAAGCAAAGCCTTTGTAAACCAGGACGGGAAGAGGGGTGAGGGGAGAGGAAGGGAATGGGGAAAAAAGAAGCGATTTATACCATGTGCAGGTACAAATTCCCTACGATGAAATAGGAAGAAATTGTTCAAAAGGGAAGAGAAACTGGAATGGTGGGAAGGCTAAAGGAAGGAAGGAAAATGCAAATAAACTATACATATATATATATATATATAAATATAATATATATAACAATATATAATATAAATATAATATATATATATAATAGTTAAGGTTGATACATTACTAATTTCTCTTAGTTCATTGAAAAGAAAGATTTGTGCTATTATTATTTGGACAATTAAATAGCTATGTCTTGTACTCTGAGTAATTTGAAGATACCAATACGCAATGTACTAACCATTGTTACCTTCTTACTATCTTGTTTTGAAAGCTTGTTTCTCTCTCTCTCTCTCTCCCTCTCTCTCTCTCTCTCTGTCTCTCTCTCTCTCACACACACGCTCTCTCTTTGTGTCTACCGTCTTTTTGAGATGGGGTCTCCCTATAGAGTTCAGGCTGGCCTTGAGCTCACTTTGTACCCAGGCTCGTCTCAAACTTGCAATGATCCTCCTGCCTCAGCCTCCTGAGTGTCGGGATTACAGGCATGTACCTGGCCTTTCTTTTATTTATTTTTTATTTTTGTCTTTAAAATAAAATCAAAACAAATTCCCTATGACAAACGTGATCATTAGATATACCTTACATTTACCAACAAACTTAATGTATTAAAAAAATACATCATTACCATCTGCTGTGCTCCCATCTTGCCTAAAGTCAATTCTTTGGTTTTATGCCTTTTGATTCCTTCTACTTTCCTGACAAAAAGCACTGACTAACAGAATAACTCCTCCTTAGAGATGCATATTGGAAGGCTTTGTGTGTGTGTTGCTTTAGATGGAAAACAAAAAAAAAGAGTGACAAACCAGTGCCTTGTTTATGTCTCCACTGAGTGCTGTGGAATTTTAAAGCTTTATGTTGGCATCTGTAGTCCTTTGTTAGCTGCACAAACCCAGGGCACCTTTATCTTTCCGGTAGATCTGTGCATCGTGTGCAAACAGGCCAAGGTAGAAAGGCCTCCTCAGCTGTCCAGCAAGCGGCCGGAGGGTGTTTATCTCATAGAGTCCAGCCCAGGCCCTCTTACTTTTGGAGGGCGGAGGCTTTGACTCCCTTTGCCCAACCCTGATGCTTGTGAAGAACTCACTGGGCCCTTTTCATGGTTTCTATCTGGATGTTCCCACAAAGCATCATCAAAGGATTAGTACACAGGGAGTATATAGCTAAATGTGATGTTGGGGGAGTGAAGCCTGGTTGCAGGCAGTGGTCAGGAGAGGCACAGCTAGAGGGGTCCATCTCCCTTCTCCCCTGATCTCTGTCTGACCTCCCTCCCCGCCACGCCCCGCCATTCCATGGACTCTGTCCTCTGCATGCCTCCCTGCCTTGCAGCCAGCCAGCTAGGGACTGAAACCTCTACAAACTGTGAGCTGAAGTAAACCTTTTCTCCTTTAACTTGTGGATGCTGCATATGTTTTCCCAGCAACAAGAGAATTAAGACAGAATGCTATTGTGCTTATATTCAGTAAGCACCTTTGCTCACTGACCTTCCTGTTTTCCTCACATGAAACCAGTACTGTCTGGTCATCTTTTCAACTAAGCACAGGTATCAGATGCTATCTCTGACAAATCCTATCTGTCAGTAGAGGAAGCGGGGTACTCTGTTAAGAATTCTGGGAGCACTCAAGGCTGGATTCTGTAAAAGGCAATGCGGTTATCATTGAAGTCCCCGAGCAGAAAATAGCATCATGTTTACACACCCTTCATCTTCCTTGGTCTGACATTTATTGATGGACCGAACATCGAGATTCTAATTCTGGGAGACTCATTACTGTGAGGGTGCTACGAGTTTGAGTCCTGGGCATATCTAGAAGTGTGTAACACAGAGAACTCAAAGTTACAGGACTTGAATTACTATTCATAATGATAGTAAGAATCATGAGCATTAATTAAATGCCTACAATGTGCCAGGAAATAAGACATGCATATGTAATTGCCAATCCTGAAGCTTATTTCTAAGAGGTAATTATAATTTTTCACATGGAAAAACTGAGTCTCAATGAAAGTAGTAACTTGCCCAAAGATACTCAACTATTGAGCAGATAACAACTTGGTGCTGCGTTTTCTAGCTAGCGCACATCTGCTTCCTAGAAGGCTTTTAGCCAGAAGCTGAAATGAGATGGGAGAGTCCCCTCTGCCGTGGAGTCCTTTGACAAGGAGGTGGGGTGTGGGTAATTCTCTCCTCTGTGGATGTCCACAGTTTGTTAAAGAGCAGCATGACAGAAGGAATAGCTGATTATTAAAGAACCACATCCCTCTCTGCATGAAAAGGCAGGACGGGAAGAAAGAGCAGCCCCACCCAGACATCAGTGGATCCCCCGACATGCCCCCAGGCAGAAGGAGGGGCTGGAGGGTCTCTCCACTGCCACCGTGTTCCTTCCACTCGGCAGCCAGGCTCTGCTGTCCCCAACCACAAGACAGTGTTATCCACTTTCATACATGGCAGTCTCAGAAGGCATCCAGTGTCCCACAGCAGTGGCCTCTCAGCTCCTGGACAGTGGTTTTATAGTGCTTCTTTCATGCAGAGGAAAATTCCATAGGCCGAAGAGCTAGTTTTCATCTGGACCGTCACATAGTGGCTCTGAGATGTGTACAAGTCCACTCTTAGATGCCAAGCAGCCAACCAGGTATTGGTAAGATATAGTCCACTGCTGCACATAATTCAGAACATTTCAGCTACCAGCAGGGCCTGGAGCCCTGGGTAGGGTGAATAGACAGCTAATGAGCTGGGCTAACTCTTCAGATGTGTGCGAGACAGCAGCATTGCCCAGAATCCTCTATGGATCATATTTTGTGTCATGCCCAACATTTACCTTGATTTATCCATCATCTTTCCATCACCCAGGGCATTAAACCTCAGAGTGTGGGATGCCCAGTAGACACACCATTGCTTCTCATCAGATGTGGCGTAAAAGACCCCAGTGGTGCAGCCTTGCCTACTCCTCTGTCCCACGTCCTCTTTATTCTCTCTCCCCACTCTAGTCTCAGTGGCTTCATCATTGCTCTGCTTATTTGCCAAACATACTTTGCCCCAGGACATTTGCACATGTTTGGTCTTTCCTCTACCTGCAAGATTTGTCTTCTGGTAGCTGCGTGTCTTCCTCGGCCACCTCACGTAGGTGCCCAGAGCATCAGTGTTACCTCGTCAGAGACATCTTCCCAACACAGTGTTCCACTGCTGTAACAAATATCTGAGATAAATCAATTTAAGAACAGGAAAGGTTTGTTTTGACTCACAGTTTGTGAGCTTTCAGTCCATGACCAATCAGCCTCCTTGCTTTGGGCCACTATCTCCTGAAAGTAACAAGCTGGAGACCTTTTAACACACGGGCCTCTGGGCACATTCTCAGATGCAAACTGTAGCGTGCCATAGTCCCATCTAAAATAAAACTGCCTTATTTCTCTACATCTTTAGTCTGTTCTGTGCTTCTCCACCTGAAAATCCCTTACTGACTATTCACTATACAGCAGAAGGCTAAGTCTGTGAGGACAAAAAATTTGTCTAGGAGTTAATAATGCAAAACATGATTATCTGAGTCTGCTTTCTGTGAGTATAAAGATTCCCTAAGCCTGAGTAATTTTTAAGAAAAGAATTTATTTAGTCATAGAGGCTATGAAGTCCAGTGTCCTGATACCAGCATCTGTGAAGTGTTTCTTACCACAAAATAACACAGTAGAAGGCGCCGTCAGTGAGAAGGAGCGAGCATGCCAGCCCCAGTCTTCCGTCCCTTTCCTGTAAAGCCACTCAAGCCAGCGCTCGGCCCCTTCCTCCTGACCTTATCTAATCCTAATTGTCTATCAAAGCCCTCCTTTCAAACACCCTAAGTTTCCCACACATCCACCCTGGGGGGACGCATTTAAACCTTAGCAATCCTGAATGAGTGCAAAGCGAATCAATGAAGTGTACTTTTGGAAAAAGATGGTGGCAGTCAATCAACAAGACCTTTGGATTTTCCCGTTTAACCTAGTCTAAGTTGACTGTACTAAGGGCTGTACAGCCTTTATGTGCCTGGGTTGTCAGGACTCTTCTGAGGGAAAGGCTGCTTTCCTCGGAGAGACAGAGATGAGTTCCTCTTCCAGTCCTGGCGACCACCTTGTTTCTGTGGCAACCCATAAAAGGCACCTCTAACCCTGGGTAACTTATGGGAAATAAAATTCCCTACATGCTCATAAAACTTTTAAAACTTTTTTTAAACCTCCCTAAATTACTGTTTTAGAAGATAATTTATTACTAGGCCAAAATTGAAGGGATTCTTTTCCCCAAATAGGCTACGTTTAATAGCAAAAGGTGACTATATTGAGAGTGTCCCTGCGCAAG